CCATTTCGGAAGCCACATATGAGGGTGAGGTTTGCGTGCTCCCAATACGGAAGCTATGCTGTCCTCTTTTTTGAGTATGGCGCCACTCCGGATCTTGATGCAAGGGATAAGGAAGGCAATCTTCTGAATTTGCCAGGAAATTGGCCTGCATATCTTCGACTGACAAACAGGTCAAGGAGAAGAAGGCGGTCCCAAGGTCCAAAGCAGAAGATAGGATGGAAAACATGATGGCCGTGTACTCCAATGGCAAGGGGGGAAATTGCGAATTTGGAGGGTGGACTGATGCCGGACTTGCACTTTTGAGGATTGCGGCAAGGCAGGTTGTGGCTTTTCAAGAGACAGCCTCATGCTCAAGAAGTAGAGAGGCCATCCTTGCAACGAGTCGCATCGATCCTTTGTATGGGTGGGTGAAAGATGATGGTGAGCCCCCCAAGAAGAAGAAGAAGAAAGGCGCCGTCCGGGGTGAACTTAGCTTGGGCTTGTAGTGGCCAAGGTTCCCAAACTAGAGCCAAAGGCTGCCATTTGGCATGCTACGCTCCCAAACCAGGGGTCCTTTGCCTTGCTTTCCCCTCATTCCTTCTCTTTGGGCATGGCTACCATGGCGGCTGTTACCTCTCTCCGTCATTGTTTGGTTGCTCCCGAGTTGCTGTTTTCATCCATCCACCCTGTTTTCTTCCGCACCTTGTCTATCGATGCGAGTTCGGTTCTTATTCGTACCTTTTCTCCCCTTTTATTCCTGTTAACCATGAAATCTTGTCTCCCGATTGGTGTTGTTCGAAACCTCTCGCTGCAGTATTCGCCAGTATTATCCTTAAAGATTCTAACCCCAATATAATCCCAATCTCCCCTCTTTGGTCTAGTTTCCCGAACTGTACTTATTGATTAGTATCCTAGGAACCTTAATTTGGAAGCACGTTTGCAGGGTTTTGGATGCTTTGCATGACCGTTCGTAGGAATTGCCCTTCCATTCTGCTTGGTACTGGATCCTGTTTTATATGGTAAACATCTTTGTTCGGAGGGAAAGAACTATTTAAAGCCGATCCTTTTTAATTACCAATGACCCAACATGCTTCAAGTTATGCCGGTGTCCACCACACGCATGTGAACAACGAGGGTGTAGGTTTGTTAAACGGGCCGTACTGGATCATTGAGACATGCCTTTAACAGATTTGTAAGTACTGTTTCATGGGAACCAGAAGCTTCGGTGCATAATCCGCAACCTCCCTTCACGATTTGTATCGTAGGGTCGACCTTCGACTTAATCGATAACCTACCTTGTAGATTGGTATCCTACCTTCAGGTGCGCTTCTCAGATGTACTACTACGGCGTCTGTTACTTCCACTTACTCTGCCGCTGGCTTGGCTGTCGTACAAACGGTCAGTGCTTTTGGGCTTGTTTGCGAAGGGAGTGCTCAGACGCCTGATTCCATCGCAACTGGCACTATCAGTTTTAGTGCATACAATTTGGATATCCAGACTGGTTGTGTTAGTCCTGTTGCTATTGGTTTGGCACAGACAAGCGCAGACGCGAATACATGGACATCCACTACTGGTGCATATACATTCACTCTCACCGGTGCTTGTGCAGGAGCGTGTGCCTCAGCACCAGCACCAGCACCAGCACCACCAGGAACACCTGGTGATGGTGGATGCTTCTCTGCCACAGCCCAAGCCCAAGTGCAAGGCCAAGGTACCGTGACTATGGAGAATCTTCAGTTGGGTGACATGGTCCTTACTGGTAAGGCAGACTATGAACCTGTTTATGCCTTTGGCCATCAGGAAAAGGATGTACTTGCTTCCTTTGTCCAGATTCACAAGAAGGACAAGCAACCACTCGAAGTGACTCCTGAGCATTTGGTCTTCCTTGATGGCCATGCCAACCCTGTCCGTGCTGATTCCATCAAGGCTGGAGATATGCTTGTTGGACAAGATGGTACTACCAATAATGTTGTTACCAAGGTGAAGACCATCACCAAGAAGGGACTTTATGACCCCTTGACCCGTTCTGGAACTATTGCGGTGGACGGTGTGATTGCCTCCACTTACATCTCTCTCCAAGATAAGGAAGCCTCTGCTGAGTATGTGGACTTTCAGGGGGGAATGAACAGTGGAATATCTCATCATGACTTTGTCCACATGGTCTTGTCTCCCTTCCGCATGCTCTGCAGTGGCGTGTCATCCAATATGTGTACCCCAACTGCCAATGATGGAATGCCTTTGTATGTTTCAAAGGGATTGGACTTTGCCAAATGGGCAGACAAGCAGAATCTTGTGGTCCAGGGCTTGCTCTTCTTGTTGGTTGCTACCATCTGCATGGCCTGTTTTGCTGTGGAAGCTTCCTTTGGTCCCAATCTTGCCCCATTGGCCATGTTGGTTGCTGCAGTCATTTGGTACAAGCAGAATGGTATCTGGAAGGAGAAGCAGGTTTGATTTGGTGGAACGAGGTAAAACGAAACCATGGTCTTCAACTGAAGTGCAAGACATCGATGGATGCGTTTGCATAAGAATATATATTTGTGAGCTTTGAAAAGTGACCCGCAAGGAAATTTTAAAATGTTAGAATTCGCCTTCACGAAAGCACAAAAGGGGAGGACTGAGCGACTCGCCATCTAGCTAGATCTGACCGTATGATGTACACCGCTGTGAGTCGTACCTGGTACTGGTACTGTAGAGGCTGTGGGGGTGGAGTCTACTAGTAGTCTAGCCAACATCGGTCCCAGCCCGTGCATCGTCCAAGAACACCAAAATCGAGCAAAATCTTCCATGAAGATGGTGCTTCTTGCACCTCTTCTGTGCATTTCAGGGATAGCTACCATTACTACTAGTAGCTAGTATATGTAACAAGCTTGTTGCGAAAATAAAAAGAAGATAGATGAAGGATCTACACGTGTACTTACTTGTAACCAATGCGGGGTGAAGGGTGAAGTCTTAAGGAAGACTAAGTAGGTTAAGCTGCAAAGACAATCTGCTAAGGTCACGGTACTCCCGCAATCATGATGGACCCGGTACCGGTACCAGGTACGACTGTACTGTACCACCACAACTCCCCACCGTACGGTACCAATACTTTACGACTGTACCATCCTAGCTAGACCCAACCTTCCGTACATGTAGCTGATTGTTGGATTGGATTTTCCACCATGAAGACGAGGTTAATTTAAATTTTTAGAAGGCAGATGGAAGCTCTGTTGGAGCACTGGTGTCGGTTATTTCTGCGGCCATGTCGGCCATGTCACCGAACATGTCAAGATCACTTCCATCCCCGGCATCATTATGGCAACCGTGCACTTCAATGGTGCCATCACGAAGTACTTTCAAACTTTTGGCACCATACGAAGTCTCGAAGAAGACATCTTTGGCATAAAAGTGAAAGTGAGGTTCCACTCTCTCCCACATCCGGGCCGCTTCCTTGCTCTTTAGGCGTGCCACGCTAATTGCATACTGTTTCTTCTCATTCCACATCCAATTGGGCACTATTCCCATAAGCACACAAAAAAACAGTGTCTGAATGGCACCTAGCACCACCACATACCATGCCGCGGTAACAATGCCAACAACAACGGCAACCAGTCCAATCAAAGCGGAGACAGGGGACACCCAGATAAGTATTTTGAGCCAGGAGAATTGTCCTTCGTACCAGGACCATCGGACCATTCCTTGTGCTTCGATGTAAGTCAAGCCTCTGGGTTGGCAAGGAGCTGACCTCCCGTAGATCGGGATCGCGCTGTCGCTGGCATTACGCCTTGTCGGTCTAGTGGTGGGGAATGAACCTAAACCCATCTTGCTTTGATTTGCGTCTGAGAAGGGCGCGTTTGTATCTACTGTTCATCTCCCTCAGCCAAGCAAATTGTGTCTTGGTACCAGGTACATTGTGCAAGGACCTAACTTTGGTGCCGTTGAATCGAATCGTGGATGGCTCTTTTTCTTTTGCTTTTGTTGTTTCGAAACTGAAGCTTGCTGAAAGATTTGCGTATTCTGCCCCATGAATGCCTTATGAAGATGAATACCATCATGTTATGCCCAATGCCCTGACCGCGTCGCCCAACGGCCAGGACTGAAGAACGGTACGGTACCAATGAACCAGTACAACAAAATTGGATGCCATTACGGTTGGGTTGCAATTTCTATTCTAACTCTGGCTAGCAACGAGCAAGTCAAGGTAGTGTAGCTAGCGGCACAGTACGGTAGGAGGCAGAACACGATAGACACTACCACAACTTTGAACTTTTGGCTATTCGGCAAAGAAAAAACATCGAGACTTACGATGCGTGGTACCGAGTGGAACCCACATGCTCGAGACGAAGAGGACGACGAGGATTTCGCAAGGCCTATGCTGGCCCCAGGAACTGAGGTCCTACTCACACCTGGGATGCCTTCCGACACCATCCTCCCAAGTACTGGGGATACTGAACAGCCAACGTCCTCCCGAACTCTGTCTGGACAACAAAGTGTTACATCAGAAGAGAACCAAACGCCGTATCATAATTTCGTGAATGCCATAGTGCAATCGAAGCTACTTTTGAGTATCTGCATCGTGCTGATGAACTCGTTGACGATTGGCCTCTCCTTGTATGCCATGCAAAATTCGGTCAAACGCTCCTTTGTTGGGGCAGGACAAGACTATTCGAGCTTTACCTATACGTCGGCGCCCGTGGATACCCCTCGACCTGCTCCCATAGACACGACTTCCCCCCCGCCTGCGCCAATGAGCCAGGAGGAAGGAGACGAAACTGATCCCACGCCAGGAATCTCAACTGGCGCCCCCGAGGTAGGCAATGATGGCACCGTTGGACAAGAGGACGGCGAAAGCAATGGGCAAGAAGAAGAAGGAGAATTGACCTGTGACTCTGGTTTGAAGTTGTTCCGGCTTGAACTGAAAACCGATGTGTTCGGTCACGAAGTTTCTTGGCATTTAAAGGATTGCTTTGGTGAGGAAATACAATCCAAGAATGGTCTAGAGGAATTATACACAGGCACAGTCATTGAACAGATTTGTCTTCAGGACAACAAGGCTTATGTGTTCACTATAGAAGATGCTGGTGGAGATGGTGTTTGTTGCAGTTATGGAGACGGGTCCTATGAAGTTTACTACGGTGGGGAGATTGTTGGTAGCGGTGGCGACTTTGGTTCCTCTGCAACGAGACCCATTGGCGGTTCTTGCCCTTAAAACGATAGATTGGCTTCTGGATCCTTGCGTCGACCAGTCGCCATATGCCCTCTGGCCTGGAGAACGTAACCCAGATCGATGATGACTCGGGGTGCTTTCCTATAGATACGAGCAACCCAAAGTGATAGCTGGCAACGCAATGCATTGGGACGACGGTGGAGCCAAGAATCTTGTTGTTTGTGTCATTCGTAACACACAAGATGAGGATTATCATGCGGCAGTTTCGTTTTGAAGGATTGAATACAGATAGATATCGTGTTGTGTCCGAGACGTTAGTTGTTGTTTCTCTACCTAGCTACTGCAGTTTCCATTTCCACATGATGTTTGTCGTATTCGTTTTAGAGAGCACCACAGAATGGGTGGTCTTTTGGATTGCACCGCTCCAGGCAAGACCTTTTGCATTGTCCAACAATTCACAAAAACACTGCTGCAGGATACACACATTATTTTGCATGGAAACACATCATCATCACCAACTTGAATTTGTTTATGCCTCGGCCGTCCGTCTGGCCGCCATAGTGGCGTAAACTGACATGAGAGCGCCCCCCCAACCGGCAAAGTAACCTACATTGAGCAAATACACGTCAGTCAGCCAGCCAACTAACATTTTCCTCTCCACAAGAGCGATACCAGAGGAGTCACTCCTTTCCCGATGTGCGAATTGATGCAGTTGTGCCTTTTTGGTGTTTTTGAAGTAAGTACGTACCATTTCCCGTGCTCAAGAAAGGCCCACGGAATGTCAATAAAATGGCGGCAGTCACCCAGAGGACCGAAAACATACACATGATGGGGAACGTAATGTCATGGAAAATCTCGATTCCACGTAGCATCGCACCAGTAATGAGAATGGTCAAGATGGATACCATGAGCGAGTAGAGTAATTCCGCAAACCAATCCCTGCTGGTTTTTAATCCATGAGCCGAAATGGCCACCAGAAGCACGACAGCGGCGCAAAAGAGTCCGGCGGTTGGTCCCGATGTGGAGGCAGTGCTGTGCAATGTGTCGGCTGTGACGCCCAGGGCCATGGTGGCGAAGACGACGAGTCCCCAGGCACCGAAGTAGCCTGTACTCATAAGGCATAGCAAACAAATGAAACAAAAATGAGTGATACTGCTAGCTGAGGAAAATGTGGCCAACTCGAGAGAAGTTGGTGGATACACAAATTTTGCATGGAAACACAACACCGTCACAATTTGAATTGGTTTAAGCCTCGGCCGACCGTCTTGCCGCCATGGTGACGTACCATTTCCAGTGACATCAAAGGGTCCGCCAAACGTCAAAAAAGCGGCTCCAATAAAGTTCCAGGCAAAGAGAAAGTAGTTGATATAGACGACGTTCTGGGCTTGACCCGCTACTCGTGTTGCCAGGAACCATCCAGCCACACTGACAATCATGGCAATACTGGCCACAGCGATTCCGTATCCATAGTAACGATGTCCCTCAAAGCTTCCTCCTGCCGTGAGCGACACGAGCAGAATAATGGACGACGCAATAATTCCCGCGTAATTCATGGAGGATTGCGACTTCAAATACTCGGCCTGATCTTCCGATTGAGCGGCCTCTTGCTCCGGCGTTACATCGTCCAATTCTTCTTCGTGGTCAGCCATCTTGCTTGTTTGCTTATTTATTAATTATTGTTTTGGGAGTTGGTACTTCTTTGTTTGCTATTAGGAAAGAGACTGGGTGAGAAGGGGGTTGTCTTGGATGGTGTGTGGGCGCTTTCTCGGTCTTTCTCAAACGGAAATTGTTGGAGGGAGGAAGATCGAAGCAAGATCCAAGATCCGATTGAAAAAGATTCGATTGGGTCACGTCGTACCGGGGGTCAGTCACGGTCACACTAGACTAACAGTAACTGGCCGGCTATACAGACGTTGCCGGTCCGTAGTTTTAAGAAAATGTTATGGTTCCTTTTATGGTATCCGAGCATACGACTGTACTCAATGCCCAAGCCCATCCATTTGTGCCGTAAAGGTACTGGGATGCTTTGAGCACCCATTGCAGCCTCTTGGTTATGCTAAGTTGACACAAATGGTGGTTGTGGAAGCATCGTTTACAACGTAGGTGGGGGTGTTGGTCCCATCCACAAACCAAGCCTGGATGACACCAACAAGGCCCGAGTGATCAAAGCAAACACTATGAGGTGCAAAGAAAGGGCCGACTCGAAATCCTTCCGCACAACACTCCGCCCACGAATAGAGAGTTGGAGCGCCACCATCCACTGAAACGGTTGCTTGACCAGCATTGCCACCACTGCCCACTGGTGAATCATAGACTACCACGACATAGATGCCATTCGTATTTTGCACCCCAGCAAACGTGATTCTGCCAGAATTGATGTTTTCAAGACCAGGTGTCGTGACAACGCTTGGGCCACTTGTATCAAACCATGTGTCAATTGGCGTGGACCCTATTTGAAACAGCCCCTTGTTCGAGACTACAGTGCCTCCGGAAAGTGTTGTAACTGTTGCAATTGTTGTGGGTACAGGAGGAGGGGTGGGAGGTTGCGTTGGTGGGTTAGTCGGGACTGGTGTTGGTGGATTGGTTGGAGGCTCGGTTGGTGGATTAGTCGGGACTGGTGTTGGTGGATCCGTGGGAAGCTCAGTTGGTGGATTAGTTGGAACTGGTGTTGGTTGGTTAGTAGGCGATGGGGTTGGTTGGTTAGTGGGAGATGGAGTAGGTTGGTTGGTGGGAAATGGTGTCGGCTGGTTCGTGGGTGATGGTGTGGGCTGATTGGTAGGAGAAGGAGTTGGCTGCCCTGTAGGCGGATTTGTGGGTGATGGGGTTGGCAGCGAAGATGGGGAGCTTGAGGGCAGCGAAGATGGAGATGATGAAGGCAACATACTTAAGACCGATGATGGCGTGTTGCTTGGAATCGACGACGGCACGTTGCTTGGAGTTGCTGTTGGCGTGCCGCTTGGAGTTGATGTTGTTGGGGTTGTAGAAGGAGAACTTGTCGGCGGAAAAGTGGGAGGGAAAGTTGGTGGACTAGTAGGGGATCCTGTCTCTGGATTCGTTGGTGCAGCACCATCTGTTGGTGCTTTGGTTGGAGAAGATGATGTTGGCGCCGGAAGTGACGACGGCGATGGCGAAGGTGCAGCTGTTTGACTTGCCGTGGGGGCCGCCGTTGGCTGAGTCGTTACTGCACCAGTAGAAGGCGCTGTGGTGCTACTCGTCGCTGGATCAGAGGGATTGGCTGTTGGCGCATTGGTTGGTTTGACGCTTGGCGTCGGAGTGGTGGAACCACTTGTGGGGTTGGTAGGTGCTCCTGTCTGGCTCGGAACACTAGTTGAAGGGGTAGTCGACGGAGCAGTGGAAGGTGCAATCGAGGCCGTTTTAGAGGGGACAGCTGTGGGAGGAGGTGGAGCAGTGGAAGGTGCAATTGAGGACGTTCTAGAAGGGACAGGTAACGGCCCCAACGAGGGGCTATCCGATTTCGAGGGACTGATGCTTGGAAACCAAGACGATGGAGTGAAAGAGGGATTTGTTGAAGGGGTGCTTGAGGGCCTTGCTGATGGCGTCAAACTCGGGGCATTCGACGGGTCCATGGAAGGAACCGACGATGGCACACCAGAGGGTGTCGCTGTTGGGACGTTCTCCACCAAGCTGAAAGATACTTGCATCGGCACTAACTCCAAAAGAGACCTGCGTCTCGTGGTGGTATTGGGGTAAGCCGTAATATTGATGTTCATCATGGGGACAGACAGCTCCGAAACTGGTAAATACGCAATGCCCGCACTGATGCTGTGCCCGTTCATGGCGTAGGAAGGCCACGGACCGTTGTTGAAGAATTCCCCATCCAGATAAAAGTCGACACTTTCGACTTCGGTTCGCGACGATGGTTGAGCTCGAACAGTCAGACTCGAACCCACGGGAACACGAATCACATCTCCAGTCGAAATGGTATGGATGTCCTGCCTTGTCGTGGCGTCGACCAGGATCAAGTTGACAATGGAAATGACAGCGGCCCCGGTTGGACTGGGTTGGCTAGTAGTGGGGCTCGTGGTTGGCCCCGGTGTTGGTGGACTGGTTGGATCCGGTGTTGGTGGCCTTGTTGGATCTGGCGTGGGTCGACTTGTCGGATCCGATGTGGGTCGACTTGTTGGATCCGGTGTGGGTTGACTCGTTGGATCTCGTGTTGGATTAGGCGTTGGCGGAGGTGTCGGAGGGGACGTTGGGTCTGGAGTTGGGCTGAAACTCGGTTGCATAGAGGGCCACACTGACGGCTGTTGATCGGCAGACTTTGTTGTTACTTCCGTTGGTGAAATTGCCTGAGTTGGCGTTGGTGAGGGTTCTGCCGTGGTACTAAACAAGGCAGTTGGCGCCAGTGTTGTTGTCTCTTGCCTGGGATTACTATTGGATGTCGGTTGGTCCGTAGGTCCAATGTCCGGGGTAGGTTCTACATTGGTGGTGGTGGTATGTTCGAGTGTGGTTTCTGCGCTTGGCGTGGCCGATGGGCTGCTGGTGGAAACCGCCGGTACCGGACTGGCCGTCGGTTGATTCGACCAGATGCCATCGTCCCGAGCTAGAACATCCTCCATGACTGCGTCGCTAAGACCATCGAACGCATCGGTAGTAACGAATAATGTAACGGAACTAGTGGGGGCCAGTGTTGTTGTAGCATCTGCAGTCGGTCCGCCGCCAAGAGACGTTGGTTCGCCCAGCGATGGTTCCGCGGATTCGCGATTGGTGGGTCGCCAAGATGGTACGACGGATGGTGCGGGACTGTTGTCGTCGTCGCCTTTTGTCGTTGGTTGCAGGCTACCAGGCTGGGCCGATTGAATGGCGGACGGACCACTGGTGGGCTCGTCCTCCTCCTCATTGTCTGTCCTATCCGTGTCAGCATTAGACTCATCAAAGGTCGCCAATAGCGGCGGAATAATGTCTTGGCATTGTGGGGTCAGTAATAGGAACTCTTCGGACAAGCAGTATTGTAGCTCTTGTTCGGTGGCGTTTGTCCCTTGCAACAAGTACATGCAAGTATCCACGGTACCATTGTTGTTGTTGTAAGCGGATGGATCAGTATCAAGCGACAAGCAGTCGCATAGATTGTTCAATTCCTCGTGTGCAAATACAGCTAGCATCGTTCCATTGGCCGCTTGGTCGAGTAGCTCCTTGTACGAGTCAATCTGTTGGGGCCAAACTTGCTGAACCGTTTCATTGCGTAGTGGCGATCCATTGGCATCTATCGGTCTGGTAAGACCAATCAGAATTCCCACAGCATCATTGTCTTGCTGTTGCAGTCGGCATTGTAAGGTGGCGGCAAAGAGCGCCAAGAACTCATCAAACTCGATTTGTATGGAATCGAATGTTGTGGGGCAGGATGAAGCGTCGATTGAATCGTCCAGTTGTCGCCGTTGTTCTTCCGGTGCCTGAAATGCCGGAGCACGAAAGACAGGTTCCTCTGGTGTGCAGCCGTCGCATCGTACAATGGGGTTCCAGGTGGTTTTCGTAACCGTATTGGATGTTGCATCGGTGTCATCCGTAGTAAAGGTCTCCGTGTACCATTCCGTAAGATTGGCAGACACCATGACTCGTTTGGCCGGATCCAGGCACATTCCTGTTAGGTTGTTGTATAGTTCTTGAAAGAGATCTTCCAGTTCCAGCTGCAGCTCTGTGAGATTGGTCGATTCCGTGATGGGTAGATTGGCAAAGGAGAGTTCCACAAAGCCCTGGTGCTCACTGGATTGTGAGCAGGTGGGTAGCTCTGTATAGATATCTGGGTCCACGGGAAAAGGTAGAGTGGTATTGGAAGCATTGTAGCTTGTAGCTGGTGGGTCCTGACTCTGGGTAGCTTGTACCTCTGTTTGGCTTTGTTGGTTAACCACAGCCACTGTCACAGAGACAGCAATGACAATGGCGAGGAGGCAGGCTATAAGAGCAACTGCCAGCACCCCGCGTTGAGTGGTGGACTTGGAGCCATCCGTGTCTTGCGCGTTGTCGGGATTGCCAAGGGTAGCATGTTCATTATCTGTTGATTCCGGTAGCTCCGAGGCATCACTGTCTGCCAAGTCATTGAGTACTGTATGTTCCGTTCTCGATACCAAGGCACCTCCTCCTCTGCCGACCAACTGATAGGGTCCTGCTTGGTCCGACTTGTCTTCGAACCTGGAGGTGGAATTGTCTTGCAATGGTTTCTCGCCTCGTTCCAACGCGTCCGTCTTGGCAGAAGAGCGTCGACTAGAACCCATGAGTTGGTCTTCGGCGCTAGAGCTTGTCGTCGCTATAACAGGGAAATCATCATTGTTGGTGCTGATTGTAGTGCCATTCCCCAATGCAGTATTGCCAATGGAATCTGCCATTGCTACCCTACCAGTGCTAAGGTGAGCTAATACTAGTAGCGACGGCAAGGGATCCGATCAACAAAACGAACAAATCTATAGTTATACAGATCTAGAGAGCCATAGAGATTGGTGGATATACATGTAGTGTGGTTTGTAGAAAGGGTTCACTTTGTAGTTGTTACTGACTTGTTATCACTCATTCATTGTTCGTGAGCTTTGTTCAAGTGGACCTTCTTGGTGGCTCATAAGCGTATCTGCCTTCCGTGCAGTGATTTTTAGCGGAGAGTCGGCGTCGCTGGTGAGAAGACCAAGATCAAATTGATCGGAACCAGCACCTGACCATCGAGGAACAGAACAGGTCATTATTGACCAGAAAAAAACCCACGATCGCACGCCAAAGAGTACTTGACTTAGAGTAAAGACATAGGCTATTCAACCACTTTCTTCAGAACGTATAAGTCTGATTGGCATCTCAGTCTTTGCTCGTAAGTCATTAGGCTTTCAACATTTAGCAGCGCGGAACCAAACAACCAAACCGAATTAGAGTTGATAACTCTCATGAATAAGTAGCATAGCAGCCAAGGACTTAATGCACTAGGTATGAACTAGTGGGTGTACTAAATGAAGCTTGAACAGGCAGGAGGATGTTGAAAGATTACAGAAGAGTGCTCTTTGATTCATTCTCCAAGTTTGTCCTCCCGCTGGTAAGTACACTCCAAACTCTATAATAAGAAAGCTGTAACTGGTAGTCAGTACTGGAGCTTTCTTATCCAACTGCTCTGTTTCGCTACCTGCTCATTCTATTTCTAACAAACAAGCCAGCTGCTCTATTTTGCTAGCTGCTGATTTTATGTCTAACAAACAAGCCAGTTTCAATAGAAGACTATCTTACTAATCTTGTAGATCAAACTCCACTGCACCTGGGCATTTTGGTCAAACTTGTTCCAGGACTCTCAATTCATTAGGATCAAGTAAAAATGGTGATCACTGGCTCTGACATCAGTGAGAAATTTTGCAGGTTTACGCACAATTTCTAAAGGAGTAGTATTTCTTGTGCTTTGAGGTCTCAATACTGGGAAGTTCTCTTACAAGTGTGATATTTCAGTATCAAAAGATTCTTGTCTGTGTCTAAAATCTGAGTACTCAATTTCTTACTTAACTTAAGGGTTGGAGTGTACATGTAGGCCTTCCTGGCTAGTCAGCACCGCGTGTCCGCGTGTGCCAAATCCCGCTTACACACTTGAAGGCTCGTTAATATGTTGCATTACAGCTCTGTTGCTTTATAACTCTGGCCCTTCCTCTTGGTACGCACCGGTACATTTTTCTTTACAACCACCGCCGGCTTATGTTAAAACACGTCACTGTCATAGCCGAAAGAACGACCATGATGAGAGCAGAGGCGGCCTTGATGAGAGCAGCGGCGTCCTCCATTTTGCGTTTCTTTAGAAGGGAGAGGTACCGCTAGTTTGTGCTGAATGAACAAAACTGAAAAAGCCATGAGAAATCTTTTGCAGACAGCCTTTGTAACAGCACTTGCCAGATCCTCACCCACAAAACAACTAAAGATGTCATCATCATCCAGCACTGCCTCGAGGGTTGGAATCGACTATCCAGAGTTGGTACGAAAGCAACATACATGTACCGGTACTGATGTGCCCGATCGTGTGATTTTGTCCGCCTAACTGTAACATTACCGTGCGTGTTATTCCCCCCATACAAACGATCTCTTCTTTGGTGTGTTCTCCTCGCAGGTTGTGTTTGATTTGGATGCTTGTTTGTGGGACAAGGAAATGTACGAAATGTCTGCCATTCCCGATGGATCCAAACTGGTCAAGGGCGATCTACGAGGACGAGGCAAAGGCGTGACGGGTGTTTACTCTGGCAGCGACAAGATTTCGTTGCACAAAGGATCACTACTGGCTTTGCAAGAACACCACGACAATAAATACCCTGGAATGAAAATTGCCCTGGCATCATCGGCCGACACTCCCTTTGCCGAAAAGGTGGGACGGGCTACTTTGACATATTTGGAGGTCGTCCCTGGTTGCACCATTTGGGATTTGCTCATGCGAGATTGGGACGGTCAAGATGTCAATCAGATTGGACGACAACCACCACTGAGTTCCAACAAGGCCGCCACGCATTTTCCGATACTGCAACAACTCACAGGAATCAGCTATTCCAAAATGTTATTCTTTGACGATTGTAACTGGGGTGATCACTGTGGTAAAGTCGCTAGAGCTTGCAAGGACCCCGATACGGGCAAATGTGTCGTGACGCATCGGACTCCCAGCGGCTTGCGCGAAGCAGATTGGATCAAGGGAATGGAGCTGTACGCGCAAGCATGGAAAGACGAATAGTTTATGTCCATTTTGATGATTGTAATTGTGTAGTACCGTAAACGCATTTTGTCGCATTTGCGTGTACGCCGTTAGCAACCATTTGTTGCCTTTTTGTTGTAGCTTCATTTAAAAAAAAAAGCTGGGGGAGCCTTGGTGCTTTTTGATTGTTCGAGGCATCTCATCTCACAGCAGCATGATCATGGAATGGTTGGGTTGTACCATGTGGGATCGATCAAATGGATCTTCATAGGTAATGTGACTTGCAAAGGGGTTTTGTAGGGCATTTGAGGCCAGTTCAGGTAGATGATGCTCTTCTTGTAACAACAGGGTGCAATCTCGTTGAGCATCCAGCTGCGAATGAAAGGTCAACAGAATGGGCGCACGGTGTTGTGTGTGTTGTTGCAACAAGTATTGCAAGGTGGGTCTCCATCCCTCCTTCAAGTGTTCATGTCCCAATCCAGGATTGAAAAGTACAAAGGCGTTCCAGTTTGGAGCATTGTTGTTTTTGTCGGAAATGTAATCATGAAAATATCCCCTGTAGAGCCATTGCAGCTGCAATTGGTTGTCACGATACTGCAACGTTTGGGGTGGCATTTGGGGATGAATATCGGGGCCCAAAAAGTCCATTTGAATGCGAATGGATCGGGTGGCTGCTGCTGTTGTAGTAGAATGAGTCAGTGCCAACAAGAATTCCTTCCAAAATTCCATGGGCAGCGTGGCTTCTGCACGGGCTCCCACGCAGCATAGATGATACATATCTTGCTGCTCTTCTTCGTGTGCCAGTAGGGCTGTTGTCACAAAATTTGCCAAAGTAAGCGGTGCCGACAAGACATGGGTGACCAAGGCTTGTCCATGCTTCAAGTCACGATCCGTCTCAACAGGGAATTCCCATTGTCGCCAGTTCCAATAGTTGTAAAAGTTCGTCAAGGAGTGGTTTTGCTGCGAACAAGAAACACTACTGCTGGTACCACCAGTAACAGGAGAGGATGGCAGGGGAGGAACTTTCAAGCAGGCTTGGGCCAATTCCGAGTGAGCGCGTCCCCATTCCAAGGCAGGATCCACGAAGGGTGATGCTCCCGCACTACTTGCAGTACCAGTACCACTGCCAGTGCTGGACGACAAACGATTTGTCGTCTTGCCTTTACCCAAGATGTGGCAAAAGGGTCTTTTCCTACAAGGGGAGACAGCAAGAGCTCTGGAAATGTACTGATAAGAAATCATGGAAGGAGATGATGATGGTGGGGCTGTTGGACTTTTTGGATTCGACCTTTCGGTAGACGGGACCGAAACCAGGAGCTTCTGTGATTTAGCGGCTCTGCAGGATTTGTTCATCGCCCACACGGTTCCCGCAAAATTAGACTGGACTATTGCACCTTCCAAGCCTTCCCAGACCAGAATACCGGTACCATAACAGAATAGCTGCTGTTGGCAGAACCAGGCAGATGATAGCTGCTGCTGGCAGATGACATCTCTGCTATAGATTGCATGGGTCGACTTTGACACGAGGATACATTCGTCCGGTCAAGGCAAGAGGGGTATCGATGCTTGCCAAGCAAATGCTCATGGAGAGTCTCTGCTTCCTTCTTCCTTGCATGAAACATTGCAACACTTTCTCTGCTACTTAGCAGCCTGCTGTTCCATTTCAGCCAGCCATTGGTGCATGGACAAAGCAATGTAAAGCAAGAGCGGGAACAAGCAGCAACATTGACCCCCCCCCCACTAGTCAGATTCGGCCTTGCCTGCTACTTGAATGCTAAATTCTAAAAGTGATAGCTAGCTAGTCACCTGGAGATCTATGTTTTATCTGGCTCCACGACTAGCTAGGCTGTGTTACGGTAGCCATACCCTGATTGTACTGTATCGTATCGATGTTGACGAGAAAATGAGAGTCTGGAAGAACTTTCGTACCCTCTATGTGTGGGTTTGTACATACTTCAAACATCACTACTGTCTAGATAGATCGAGGATCATATGGAAATCGCAATCTATAGTTACATGTTAGCTGCCTTATGCATTGAGGGGTACGTGATCTGGAAAGAAGCGATGGAATGGAAGACAGTTTGGGAGGTTTGTCTTGACAAACAGTATCCACCGAGCAGAGAAACTTTTTCTCTCTCTTGTGTGGCAGTGTAAGTATTGAGCAATCTATGGTGTGTTCTTGGCTGATATCATCTTGGTTTCCTGCTCTTGTCGACTCTACGGGCCCTGCCTCTTCCTAAAGGAAGGTCCCGAAGCGCCTTATATCCCCAGAAAGGCCAGAGGTGTCCGAAGTGACGGAAACAGCATGTCTGGATTGAACCCCCTCCACTGTTCCGGTGCTTTCTTGACCACCTCGTCTTGTACTTTGTCTGTTGTTGTCGTCGTCGCACTGGATTCTGATCCTTCCGATAGTGCTGCAGTTGGCGGCTGTTCTATGACGATACACCAAGCGTCTTTGGGGACTGTGAGAACCATTGCTTTTCCTGGTGCGCACATATTATTTCTAGGCAGATATGATGGAGCTGAGGGTTGCTGGGCTTGTCTTTATGTTTCCAACGAGATTGTGGTGTGGTCTATGGTCTACTCCTGGTCCAGTTTGTTGAATGTATGGATACGATAGTAGCTAGCTGGGGAGAAAAATTTGTTGGTTTTGTGGTTGTTTTGGTTGGCTTTTCTCGTGAGCTCTTCTGTTCGGGTTGGCTATTGGGGGCTTCTTTGTGTGTTGGTTTTCCGAACTCCATTGATGCTAAGACATTGTTCCTTGTATCATTTTTGCGTATACGCCTTCTACTATAGTAAATTAGTACAACCCTGAGGTAGACGTGGAAGCTTCTTCCTTGTATCATTTTTGCGTATCCGCCTTCTACTATAGTAAATTAGTACAACTTGGAGGCTTCTCGTACTTCGCTGGTTTGGGTCAAGCCTTCTCTTTCCTGCTCCACGCCAGGAGCCATGGCAGTCGCACAGATTATGGGGGGGTTAGGCAGCAGCGCGGGGGAGGGAAAAGAAAAAAGAAAGGGAGAGGGTTATCAGTTGGATTCCCAATTCCACCGTTGAAAGCCTGCCGGCACCAGCAAACAGTCACCGGGACTAGAGATCACTTAGGGTGAAAGCGGCAGAAGGCAGTAATGTGATTGGCTAATCAACCTATGACATCAGCAAATGCGTCAGCAAAGATTCAAATATACTTAACGTACCACTAGATATTACGGGTTAATGTGCTACCAAGTGGAGGATTTCTTTTTCGCGAAAACCGAAAGAAGGATTCCTCCGTTGTTGTCGATCGATCGATCGATCCACAATGACATTCTGCGCTCACTTGCAATCAACTCGACAGTCTTAAAGCATCATGACCAGAACAGCAGCAACAGCAGCAACAGCAGCAACACAGTCCACTACAATGGAGGAATCTGCAGAATGCAGGTACAGATCGCAACGAGGCAATTCAATGCCCAACAAACAGATCGAAGGAGCCAGAGAAGAAGGACCCAAACACCTGGGAGGAGAGGTAGCGAGTCTTTGATCCACTCAGAGAGTGTGTCATCTGTAAGGCCAGACATCTTGGTTTCAGAGTCCCAAAAGATACACACCGTTTCTGTATTAAGAATACAGTAACAAGAGAAGAGGAGATTTGAATGAGCTACAATGGAAACTATCAAGGAGAAGCAGAGACTCACAAGGCACTTCAGTGCTCCTTTCCACTCAATGAGAGAGGAAGCTGGAAGCACTCAACAAAGGAGAATGGAGATGCCTTCTTCTGCTAGAACAACACAGCCAAACCAAATCAGAGCCGGCAACAGAAGAAATCACAACCAACACAACTCCAGTAGCTCTTTGTCAAAAGGTAACACTCTTGTAAAGATCTGCTTTGTGGAACAGCACAAGACCAAAGGAGCACCACTGGCAATGTAGCATGGCAGAAGCTGTCAAATCCATTACAGCAAAATCAGAATTCCACCAACATTAAGGACTCACATGACAGTCCACCACAGGAGCATTCAATCTCCACACTACACTCCATTGTTGGCCAGAAACTAATCCTTGTGGACTGGAATCGATGTGGAATACAGTGTACTTGTCCCGATGGAAGATGCTCTGGCAACTCAAGAATACGAGGCAAATGGTCACAAACAAGACCTTGTTCCATATCTTTGGCATCACTTGTCCTCTTCTTGGTGTATATCATGTCCATGGTTTGTGTGGAAGCTGCAACAGAGATTCGATTGCAACTCTGCGAAGTGCTGGTCTCGATCCGACATGCTTCATTGCTCTATCCAGTGAGTCCAAGTATGCTCTACTAACAAGGCTTGTCATTTGGAGCGAAACAGCAACAGAGTATTCGTTTCTATCTTGTAACCTATGGAATGGGACCTTGCAGCGCGCTCCTCTACAATGCAATCAACAGAGAGTATCTTAGAGCCATGATGTCTTACTTCTCATACTGGCAAGGAAGCGACACTGATCCTGATCCCTTCTTCAAAAGGATGGCACTTCATCGACAGTTTCTCTCTTGGTGACACATCCGTGACATCTATGATGCTGCTTGTGCTTCAAACAGGAATGCGTGGAGAATCAGTGACAACCAAAGGCACAAGAGAGATCCAAAGTGTCAAGTGCAACAAAGGAATCTTCTGCAGACCACTTCCAGGTGATCAAGAACTACTCCAAGAGTCTTGGTGTGCTGCTGCTGTTTGGGATGCTGCCACAGAGACTGGTGAGATTGCATGTGCTGTTCTTGTTCCAACCACCAAGACAATCCAATTCTCCCATGCTGCATGAAGCTAGCAAGGAGGAGCAACTTCAATCCAGCTGCCATGTACAGCGACACCTGGCCCCACAAGGATGCTTTTGGGGCTCTCTTTCCAGGTATCGAGGGAAGACTTGGCCTGTTCCATTATGAGAAAGGATTCTGTCAACTTTAGGAAGAGTCACATGGATTACTTTCCAAGCAATGCCAGACCTCGTTGGATTGCCTCTATATGTGTACTCAGTGACTTGAGAAGGTCCTCCATGTTTTGAAACATGGGCATCTTGTCCTCCAATGGCAAGCACTACTCACATGGCAGAGACCTCAGATCATGCAATCACAAGGTCTTCACGATGCAGGATACTCCTATAATCTAAGGAAGAAGATGAGAAACCAGAGACCATGAGACAGTAAGTTGCAGACAGTGGTTCTGAAGATACAAGGTGACTGCCAGTAGATGGTAGCCAGCCGGAAAGGGTCCGACTGCGATCCAGTACAAGCACTATACCTTGTTACTCTCTATACCAAACCATCAGTAGAAGAACTGCATGTTGAGAAAGCCAATTCTTGGCTGATCCACTGCCTCTTGGAAGATATGTATGACACCTATGCCTGACCATCACCCAATTCGCAAGCAAGCCTCCCAGTTAGTATCTGTCAAGGAGTAGAAGAATCAAAGTTAGAAGCATTATCACAGACAAGTTTGCCATTTCGGTTAATCGGTGGAATGAGGAGGTGGCCTTGTAGATGCACCAACCTGGCTGGAACTGCAGCATAACCTAAGATTAGACACAAGAGAGCCTTCATGTCAAGAAGTCAGTCGAGGAGAAAGGAGGTAATTCCAGGCTGGATGGGAGAAAGTTTTCCTTACTGGAACATTCAGTTGGCTTACCTCAATGGGCAGCACGGCTTTGGAGTCTGGATGCACCATTCCAAATGCAGAGCCACTGCCACAGGATAATGAGAGAGAGTTTCTTTTCAGAGTTCATTGTTTCATTCAAACCAAAAGGCAGAAGTATGCACCCCAGATGTTGTCTCTGGTGCAGCTTGAACCTGAGCACCACCGAGTCCACCAGCAATGGCCAGCACCGCCGTGCAACACGCGAAGATCCGACCACCAGCGATCCACCGACTGCAACAGCATATGGTTCCAGCGCCGCCATGCCACCACAGTACGATGTGACATGCTTCAGCAGTAATATCAAGAAAAGCTTATGTGGTTAACTGCTTCTATAACAGAACATATCAACCAATTCAAATTGTCAACTTGCCATTTCAAATGCGGCATATTCCATACCAATCTGCCATATCCTTTCAGCACCTCACGAATGGCTGTGTAGAGATACTGCCAGTTGTTGACTATAGGAGAGGTAGACCACTCATGATGCCTAATTGCAATCTAGATTTGTGATACTTGCTAAAATAGATATAGAGTATTAATGTGACATTCGTTTCTAATGTAGCCATTAATTAATCAAGGTCCTTTGTTGTTAGCTGTCCCTCTCAGTTTGTATCAGTCTTCAAAGCAATCTTGAACAAATCTCTCACTCATGGAAACAAAGCTACCAAAGAAAGTTTTGTTGTTGTTGTCATTCACCATGGTAAGTATTTCCAGGCTTGCACAATTCTCTGTCTCTGCATTCAGAGTAGAAGTTAATGCTCCTCGCCTCACATAGCTCTCCATCACAACAATGATGCCTTCAATGAGATTGTCTTCCTTACAGGCATCTGGTCCCAACAACATTTCATAAAGGGTCGAGAGAACATGCTTGTACCATTTTGGACCGACACTCTTCTGAAGACCCCCGGACTCAAACATGTAATCCATGATTATTGTCATGTCAGGAGGAAGAGGCTTGCATGCTCCTTGCAACATCATCTCCTCAAGAATGGTCACTTCCATGGTGGCTGTTGGCAAACAGAAGTTCTCCTCCTCCTCACTGTTGTACCCACAAATGACATACTTGCAGGTGAATCCATTCCTTGTGACCCTCAACTCATTGAATGGGTATTCCTTGACAGTTAGCAACCACTTGGAGAAGGCCGAAGAAGTAGTTGCGATCCTCATGGTCGCGTTCTTGTTTTGATCTGAATTGGCGAGTTTCGTAGCTGTTGATGGTGGAGGATAGAAGGACGACGTTCGGTGGAGGATAGCAGGACGACGTTCGATCGGTGGACGCACTGGGGATACAACGACGATAGATAGAAGGACGGCGGATACAATAGTGATTAGTAGAATGCCATTGTTAACAACAACAACAACAACAACAACAACAGCACTCACAGAGATGGATCGATCGAAATCGAAATGCAACAGCAACAGCAGAGATAGGAGGAAAATGGGAAGGTAAGGTGCGAGCGAAGGATTGGGAAAAGAGCAAGTGGGTATCCGTTGCAACATTCGAATTCAAATGAACCAACGTATTCCCTGTGACGTACTTGATGACATATTGTTGTTCTTCAGACGTCTTACCCATGGGGGAGATGTCTGTTTTATATAGGAGACGTAGAGGGTCATTGCCATCTCCCCTCTTCGCTATAAGAGTGTTCTTCAGACGGAGCAGGTGCTGGCAGAGGGCGGGAGTGGAGAGAGCAGCTATGCTAGCTTGTATGTAGCTTTCGGTCCCAGGCACAGCGTACAGCCGTACACCGTAGCGGTACCATCGAAGCTGCTTCGTCGATAGCAAGTTCGTGGTGTGGCCCAGTTTGCTGCAAGCTACCGTGGATAGGTGAGCCCTGTTTACAGGTTGTACTTGTAGAATCGGCCGTGGTCAGAGCAACCCGGGCTACTGGCTGCACCACCGCTCCTAGCTAGTCTAGACTAGATCGGCAAAGATAATGATGCATCAAAAATCCAAACATCCAATTATTGACTCCAAGTGCGCTTCACCACTCATCAGAGCTGTCTACACTACTAGCTAGCTAGAGGATGAGCATCCTCACGATTCTACATCCCAAGCAATTCTGCGGAGCTGCCTCTGCAGCTCTGCAGTGAAGAAGTGAAGAGTGGGCCACCCCGCCAGGCCAGTTAGGGACCGGGAGTGGGAGAAATAGTTGGTCCCTTTTGTTCATGGCCGCTATCACGTCCAGGAGCCGGTCAGCAAACTGAAAGAACGGGTTCCATGCCGCACGAGCCAGGAGAGAGGCCTTCGACTTTGATGCTTCCGTGCGTCTCAGTGGACAACAGCGGGCAACAGGAGGTCGGGCCTTTGCAACCATCGGTGAGCCGAGGTCAACCAATTCGAAGATTATTCGATTGCAAATGAGTCCCCATTATTAAACGGGAATAACGGGTATCTTCCTCCACGTGGAAAAGCCGATGAATGGACACCGCACGATGATGCCATCATGAAAGCGACAAGTTGCAGTTGTTGTCGAACTCTCCTCCTCATCTTGCCGCCAACAACAGCTACTGTGTTGGCCATTCCAAACAACTTTCATCACCGCAAAGCAAGAGTTCCTGCCTTTTCGAGAAGAAGCATGGAGTTGCTACGAAGAATCTGTCGTTTTGCCCTGCTTTCCTTGCTACTTTTCAATGGAGTCCAAGGCCAAGCCCAAGAATATGAACACTATGAAGCAGACAATCTCTACCATGATTACGCGATGAGACAGCAAGAGAAAGAAGCTGCAGCAGTGGGGTGAGTGGAGCGGGTGTGATTGGCCCTCTTTTCGTAATTGTTGTTTGGAATGGTGGGCTTGATTCCTTCTTGGATGATCCTTCATGTTTCATGTTTGTCTTGTTTGTGCGCTATCTAATTCATTGGCGCTCTTCTTGGCCCTCTCTTCCCCTTGATTCCATTCTGCAGTGGAGGTGGTTTTGGATTACCAAAGATGTTCGGAATATTTGGTGTTGGTTGGTTTATTGGAGCTAAATTCCACTCTGGCCGAGTGAAGAAGCAGCTCAGTGGCAAGCACAAGAGCGATCAAAAGGCACTGTATACTCAATACTACAACGACGTTTACACACTGCAACAGCAAAACGCCGAGTTGGTGCAAGCACTAGAGCAAATGGGTGTCAAAGTGAGGTCGTAGTCAAGACAGCTATCTCCTTCAAGCTGTTTCCCGTGTCATTGGGATTTATTATTGGACTTGAATGATTCGATTCAATCAATTTTTGGTGAGCATTCGATCATCCCCAGTCCAACATCCCTAAATGATTTCTTTGTTTCAGAGTGTTCAGTACAGTCAGCACACACCAACAGCAAACCCAATCTACCGGTACATCACGCTATATTGTTCGCGGTGGAGCTGTGTTATGACGTGAGATTGCATCATCCGAGTTCCCTCTACCCTCCTTGCTTCTAGTTCAACCATTCATATCAATATACTCTTGTTAGTTTTCCGTTACGGTACCATGACGCCCTTCTACTCGTTTGTGCCTCTCTGGAGTCAATGTCAATGATGGTCTCTACACTAGTACCCCGATGAGAGGATTTCTTCGGAGTCCACTCAACCTAGTCCACATGCAATGGTGATTTCTCGCTCTCTTGCAACCCTGTTGATTGATCATTGTGTTTGTGGTGGACCAATATGCTACCGGTACGGTACCGTTACAATGCCACGCTGTCCATAAAGGACCAAGAGAGACTCTCACTGGTGTCTTCCGTTCAACGTCTTTTTCTTTCCCATGAATACAATTGCACTCCTCTGTTGCAATGAACACTGACTTCGATTTATCCCTCACAAATAATGTCACAACTGCACCTTCCTACGATGCAATTCCAATGCTGGTCGCACAAGGTACCGACAAACAAACCAGCCAGCCAGCCAGCCAGCCAGCCAGCGTCTGCCTCTAGTAGTCGACCCCGGTCGAAACCCTCCAGTCCTCTGGAGAAGGCTCCTCTCGACCCACAATGTTACGAGGCGAATCCCCATCGGGAGGACGGACCGAAGGACTCTTCAATGTCTTTTTCTGTTTCTTGTTGGATTTTTTGCTGGTCGATGCAGCGGTTCTCTTGCCCTTGGCAGTCGATTTCTTGATCTTGACCAATGACTCTTCGGCGTCAGATTCTTCTTCTTCTTCCTTGTCCGACGATGACAGGGGGTCCGTGTCGGATCCATTCGTGTCCTTGTAATTTACCTGCTTTTGAACACGGCGGGTGCTACGACGAGAGCGAGTCGATTTTTTGTCTCCTTTCTGGGCATTCTCTGGGGCATTCTCGTCATTGACAGCAGGAATTTTCTTCGTCTCCTTGGCGGCTGCTGCTTTCTTCTTGTCCTTTCCAGCTGACACCTTGGTGGTGGTGGTGCGATTGTTCTTGCGAGGAGCCATGATGGATTGATCAAGCAGGAATGACGAAAGGAGAAGAGTCTGCGGTTGCTGCTTGCGAAAGGGGAAAAGTTGATTTGTAAGGAACAAGCTTTCACAACAACTCGTCTCCTCCAAATTTCAAACCCCGCAGTCAACACAGCAACAACGAAAACAACAAATTCTCTCTGCTGCTTGGGTTGTTGCTTACCTTTTGAGATGGAACGATGGAATAGATGATGTTGTCCTGTTGCACTGTTTGTTGGTGACGGACTGTGGAGTTCGGACGAGTGGGTTTGCGCCATTTTCGCGGAAAACGAATACTTTTGATTCTCCCTTCTTTTTAAGAAACTCCAAATCACCAATGAGTGAAGCCCGAAAGCCAAGTCGCCTCATTGCTACAGATTGGCTGCGAACAGTATTTGTAGCAACTGAAGACATGGAGCATATAGAGGTCTGTAATATTTTGATTCCAAGACCTTATTACAAAAGGGCTTGCCTGCCTGGTTTGACCTTGACCGTACTACAGGGACGCTCTCCTGGTAGACAGGAAGCTCAGCAAGTTGAGGAGCTGGCTGGTATCCATGGATATTTAGAACGCAATTAACGGGAAAACAAAGCATCATAATGTCATAACATGTCCAGTCCACTACTCCTCTACAGTTCAATCTACAAAATCCTGTGCTATCTTTCCAAGACATCCTTCATGTAATTGAGTTCCGAAAAGAAGAGAACAAACACCAACCTCTTGGCACTTTCAGGGACAGGATGTGGCTTGTGCAATGCTCCCGCCAATACAAGACCATCTCCAGCTGAAAGGGGAACTGTTTGCACGGGTTGGTCCTTTTTCGCTGTTTGGCAGTCGAGCTTGCCCAGGATCTCCCCCGTGGCATGGTTGTGGTCGTAGACTCCTTGAATCACCACGCTGAGCGGGACTGGATTGCCGTTGCAATCGCAATCAATATGATTGGACATGTCTCTGGGAGCATTTCCAATGCCAATGTAGTGGTTGGTAAAGGCAGATTCAAGGGGCATGGCTTTTTGACAGAGCTCATCCAGATTGTTGGCTGTTTTCGGTACCAATCCCAACTCGGTGGCCAATTTTCGCCGAACACACTTGATTATTGGTTCCATAAACGCGGCATCCACGGGCGCCGTTGCAGTGCTGTCTTGATTGGGTTGCCACACGTTCTGTCCGTCAATGTAGATTCGAGAACTTTTCCACGGCTTGCCAAGGTAGGTCCCGTCATGACCACCCTCGTTCTCAAAGACGCTTGCAGCGAGGCGGGAGCATTCCGTGAGGGTCGTAGGATCAACAATATTTTCCATGACGCAAAAGCTCTGATCGAAAAGCTTCGAAAGGACGATTTGGTTGCTAATGACGGGTGCATCCGAAGCAACGCTCACGAGAGCACCGATGGGATGGACCGCAGCGGTGAGAACCGCGAATCTGGAAATGCGCGACCAGCTCATTGTTAAAGATCGAAACGCCACTTTAGAAATGCGCAGACATTCTAGAATGAAGCAAATGGAATGGATAAAAGAATAGAAGTTGATGTGGCTTCCATACTCTGGTGTTGTTGTAGCTGTTGGCTTGGCAAGCCGAACATCGATGTTCGAATAGCTACTACCAGTACTGGTAGTATCATACTGGTAAGGAAGTGAAACAATGACGTGTGTACGTCGTACCATACGTCAGGTGCCTTTGAGGCTTGACTTTTGACAGCTTAGCAGGCTGGAGTGAAGGTCGAGGCCAACGTCAGCAGATACCTACCACCTTATCGGTACGGTACTGTACTATTTTAGAATACAGTACTTGTTTTAATAATTAAAAATCTTAGTCTTATCTTTTGAAAGGGGTAGACTAATTAAATATTATTACGTGTGTGAGTGCAATGAGTGCAACTTGTATTTTTATTAAATAAGCCAACTCGCTGAAGTTGCCCTGTGACCCTGTGACACTGAAATTTCTTACTCCAGGAAATCCTCGTGCTTCTATTCTAGCTTGTAGCTACATACACGAAGCGATTGGACTGAAATTACATAAAGGACTGATATTGCACTGGTAGCCCCATTTCAGCTTGAGGTGAGATTTAAGCACAGGGTACCTTCAACGCCGAATTTGAGAGGGGTTAAACAAAGAAATATTGGATAGCGCCACTATGAATCTGCCGAGTTCTCTCGATCCACTACTTCTGGCCTTTGAGATTTAATGAATGCTTCAGCACACACGATTTTTGCGTGTTCACGCACGGTTCAAGGTTCACGGGTTCAATGGGAGGTTTCAACAGTGGTGAAGGCTTATAAGGGTGAATGCGAGTATTAAATAGTGCGAAGACTTCTTTTGGCTTCCACCTTGCACCCGGGAACCGTGAAATGGGCGGGGTTCTCTATTAGATTTGTACGATCTTATTGCATTTTTGCCCTCTGCTGGAGAATGACTGTAACTTATTGCAATAATTGGAGTATCGGCCTTAAAAGTACTCCGAGTTCGGAGTGTTTGACCACTGACTACGCTGACTTGAACATATCATACACAAACTAGATAGTCTAGAGTACCGTACTAGCTATTAATAGTAGCGGTACCATGACTTGCCATGTATTACGTACAGTATGACTGCTCAGTACCGTACAGGAACACGGTTGGCTCCAGAGAGCAGCGCCCCATCGAATGCCCGAGCAATCAGTAAAAAAATTTGTTTTTCATGGCAACAAAAGCCTTGGGAAAAATAATGCCCAGGAAGTACCCTGTTGGAGCATCCGTCAGCATCATACATCGTACACACAGTTGACCATCATCAACAACAAAAAAGACATCGACATGGACCAAAAAGCTGATGAAACCAGCACCAACGAGGAAGATGAGACCATATTGCACATAGTAGAGCGCATCAGTCACGATACATACAGCGATGTGGAGCTTGCGAAGCTTTCGAGGCTCGAGTCTGATCATGTGTCACTGACGGACACGGTGTCCCCTCTACAGGAAGCATCGCAAAATCTCAGTGGCTCAGTACCACCTCCTTCCAGTGATCCATACGTCCATAGTGATGGACAGAATCAAGATGATAAAACGTCATCAACCAGTGCTGAGTCGGCGAGTGTTGACGCAGCAGCTCAAATGATGCTCAAGGATCGATTCATCGTCGATCAAGTCGATAAAGCGGCTTCGACCAGTGCCGAGTTGACCAGTGTTGACGCCGCAGCTCAAATGATGCTCAAGGATCAATTGATCGTTGGTGAAGCAGCAATGTACCAAAAGGATCGATTGGTGTGTGCCGGGATAAACCAAGCGATGAATCAACGAGATTCCCGCAATCTGGGAGAGAACAGACCCGATGTTTTATCATCAACCGCCCAGAACCAGGAAGAACCAGACCTAGCACATCCAGGAGCGTACGCAGTGGCTCCAGGAGGATCGGGCGGTACAGGCACAGAAATGGAAGAAGGCCTAGATGCATTGATACCACCAGAACCAGCCCCAGTTTCCCTTGAGGATGGCCTTCCCGTGGCCAATCAAGTGTCGGACAATTTGGACCTACCCGTGGCGGATTTGGATCCTGGACAAGATAACAGCAGAAGGGCAGAAAGGAAGAAGCAATCACTATGGCTTCCCGCGCTATTGTATGGCAGCTGCGTTGCTGCCCTTGTCATTGTGGTGGCCTTGCTTGTTAATTCTGGTAGAAACAATGAGGACACCAACAGCAGTGTATCTGACTCACCCACCTACTCACCACTCCCTCCAGAAAATGCCCAAAATCTGTCTGATGTGGAGCTCCTTGTTTTGGAAGCTTTGTCCAATCACACTCTGGAAGCACTGGAGGATCCCATCTCTCCCCAGTCCCTTGCCTATGAGTGGATACTGGAAGACTTGGAAGAAAACAACTACACCCACACCAGCAGGATCAGGCAAAGGTACGCCCTAGCCACTCTCTTTTATGCCACAGGAGGGCATGACTGGTATGAAAATGAGAACTGGTTGAATCAATCAGTTCATGAGTGTTTTTGGTTCTCTCAAGAGTGCATGAGAGAGGAGGATTGCACTCCCTGTGAGATCCCATCCAACTCGCTCAACAGCTCCAACCAAGCTGTGCACATGGAATACGAGCCATATCAACACATTTTGCTCTATTCGAATGCTCTGCAAGGCACGTTGCCACTAGAACTGTTCTGGTTGACAAACCTCAAAACCATTTACCTTCTCCAGAATACTGATCTAGCTGGCACTATATCATCCCATATTGGGAGGTTGAGGCAGTTGGAAGTCTTCCGCGTGCAAGTCACAATGATATCTGGAACAATCCCTACAGAGTTGGGCCTTCTTTCTGATAGTCTCTCTCAAATTTTTGCCACCAATGCTCAGCTGGAAGGCACATTTCCCTCAGAGCTTGGGATGTTACAAAAGCTGGAAAAAATATCCACAGATGGTAACATGCTCACAGGAACCTTACCAGAGGAACTGGGGGATGCCACCAGTTTGGATTCCCTAGTGTTCATTGCGAACTCATTATCTGGGACTATACCAGAATCCATTTGGCATCTCCCCTTGGGTATTCTTGCGTTGGGGCTGAATCAGCTCTCAGGAACCATTCCTACAGAAATTGGGTTGATGAGCAATCTCACCTATCTGTCACTTTCTTATAATGGCTTCTCAGGAGAGATACCTTCGCAGATTGGCTTGTTGACTGATGTCATCAATGTGAATCTCTATGTCTCCAGCTTTACTGGCACTATCCCCACAGAGATTGGTCAGCTCTCTTCTGCTGATTATCTTGGGTTTTCTTTCTGCGCCTTCACTGGCACTATTCCCACCGAAGTGGGCCTCCTAACGGACTTGAGCCTCTTGTGGATGGATGGGAACAGCCTCACGGGATCAATTCCGAGTGAAATTGGACAAAACGTCAACTTGGAAGGTTTGTCTCTTGGAAATTCCAACCTAACTGGGACACTGCCATCTGAGTTGGCGAATGCCCCATTGACCATGCTATTTCTGGAAAACTCTCTTCTGTCTGGCTCTCTCCCTGAAGGGCTCAGTCCAGATCTTTTTCATTTGTCACTGTCAAACAGCTCATTCCTGACTGGCACAATCCCAAAAAACCTGACAAGCTTGGATTATTTGCTGGTGGAAGGGACAATGTTGTCTGGAATACTGCCAGAATATGTCTGTGGAAATGATGTTCTTGCTCTGGGTTTTGACTGCAGCCCTTTGCTATGTGGATGCAGTTGCCTTTGTGCCAATGAAACCAACAGCTCTGCTGTCTCCATGGCAATGGGTGAGAACAATGAAACAATTAGTACCACCGTTGGGGCATGATTGGCAACTATTGTTGCAGGCAGAGTCGCCGAAGATCCTTGCAGAAGTCCCTGGGTTGAGAGCTATGGTGGTGTCGCTCAGGTCCAGGTTGCTCAGTTATTGGCCCCAATTGTGGCTGGCGGGGATGTTCTCCCAAGATGCCACCACTCCACCAAAAGAGCACAATGGCAACAACGAAAACGGTGGGGGAAACCAAATGGTCAGTGCAATCCTTTAGTAAACTACATATATATATATATATATATCAGAATGAAGATCCGCATCATAGGTTCACTGTAAAATCTGAGTTTGTGGTTTGTGGGAGCGCATCTAGATGCCATTCTCCTGCATGTGCTCCTTGTGGATACCATGTAGCAGGTATTGAGCAAAGGAGATTATGCCAACTCTATTGCCTTTGTGAAAGCTACCCATTTATCTCTCTGTGGATCCCGTGAAGCCAAACCCTTCGGCACCCACAATGGTCATCAATTTATTGCTCCTGATCCAACAGAACCCAGTCCTGAAGTTCGACTCTTCTTTGCTTTAAGTCTGGCCCTCGCTGGCTTCTGTAGATAATCCACCTACTCTAAAGCCCTGTTATAGTAACTTGAAAGTTGGGTTTGTTGAGGTGTTTTCTTGCTTTGAGATTCATGTATGTGCAACAACATCGATGGAAGTTTGGAGTCGAGTCAACAACTGCTGATTCATTCCACGAGTTTCCAACGGGTCATTGGAAAGTTTGCAATCAGCGGATTTCATTCTGGCTGAGGGTAAGTTGTGCACCGTTCGGTCCGCAGGTACCGGAACCGGTACAGGTAGGCAGTGCTCGAGGTGCGCACCTACTAAAGCAGGAAACTGATTGATCCAAATTCATGTGTTCTTCCTGCCGATTGGTTCTGGAACAACAGTGCCCGCATTGGCTGCACTGTGCCCCGCATTGGCTGCACTCTGCCCCGCCCCAAAAGCATGGACCAAAATCTAGGACGTCTTCTTGAACGGCCCGGCGGGTGCCGTGGATACAGTCGTACTACGTTTGTTGCTCAAGCTGGCGTGAAAGGCTCCTTTACCTCGTACTGTTCAGTGCAATCATGACTTCCTTGCTTTCCTCCACTGTTTTGACAGCTTCAACATCTCTCTCCAACATGACGAACTTGGCGAAGCAGTCTTGAGAAGAAAATTCGGAAGCTTTCGACGGGACTGAGACTGAAAAAATGAGGCGAGAAAGTCAAAGAAAAACTTGATATCAGCCACCCGTGCTTGTCATGTCGGCAAAGAGTCCTTTTACTCCAAGTTCATGCTTCCCGCAGGGTCTTTCAATCTCTCAACTCGACCATGACCGACCCTCTGATATTGCACCGCTTCCTGCAAGAAGGGGGAGCAAATTCTGCCACTGCAACAAATGCCCCAACCACCGCTGACGCAGTTGAACCGACCAGTCCCAACGATACGGCTGTTCTCGTCAACACACTGCTGATTTATGGAATCCTTTTCATAATCATTTCACTCCTTTTCTGCTGGTTGCGACTTCGGAATCCTCGTGTCTACAATATCCGAGGATGGGTGAAAGATATTAGATGCAAACTGGCCAAGAATCAGTTTGGATTCTTCAGCTGGGTCTTTGAGCTGAATGACATTCCCGACAAGCAATTTATGGAACAGTGTGGAATGGATGCATTATGCTTGGTCAAGATACTGCGATGGGCATTCAAGGTGTCAGCCGTGAGCGCTCTAAATGCCTTGTGGCTGATCCCTGTTTATGGGTCTAGTAAAGATTCACCGGAAACGGCCTACATCACCGATTACATTGCCTCCATTACCGTGTCACACGTGCCACCAGGCAGTCCGAGGTTGATTGCAACCACCATTGCTACCTACATTGTCTTTGGGGCTGCCTTGTACTTCTTATACCAAGAGTTTGACTGGTTCCGACAACACCGCTTCCGATGGTTGCATCAGGCCAAACCAAGAAACTACACAGTCTACGTTCATGGGATCCGAGACGAGTTCAAAGCAGACTATGATTTGGCGGACTATTTTCAAGAGAGCTTTGGTCTCGGTCGGGTACAAGAAGCTCATTTGAGACTCGACACACCCGAACTGCTCGAAATGACCATGAAACGACAGGCTCTTATCAAAAAGCTAGAGCATGCCATCAATATCCAACAAGTCAAGAACGAAACACCAACTCACAAAGTCAATGGGGTACAAGTGGACTCGATTGAAGCTTACGCCGACGAGCTGCAAGAAATGAACCGAGAGATTACCGAAAGAATCGAGTTTTTGGAAATTGGAGGGTACGATTCAGACGACACAGAAGCTCAAATGATGGAGAGTGCACGTCACGCCGAGGGAGGCCCGTTGGATGGAGGTTTCTTGACTTTCTACAATCTCAGCAGTACTCAAGCTGCACGACAAATGAATCACGCTCGAATGCCATTTGAGATGCAGGTGTGGGAAGCTCCAGATCCTGAAGGTGAGGCTCCCAGATAGATCTTGCGTTTCAGTGTGTGCTACCGTGACGTTGCTAACCAATGTCTACTACCTTTTCTTTCCGCCGCACCCAAGATGTTCTTTGGCCAAATGTGGGCAAGAAACATGCTGAAATTCAGGTTGGCAAACTAACATCCTTGGTCCTGACAATCACAATCTGCTTGCTTTGGACTATTCCAATCAGTTTCTTCTCCGGGTTATCATCCGTTGAGGGAATGGAAGAACAGTTCGATTTCATCAAGGAAGCAAACGAAAAGTACCCTGCTCTTAGAGCAATCTTGGCACAACTCGCACCTTTCTTGGTTGTCATTGTCAATGCGCTGCTTCCTGTCATTTTGAAGGCTCTTTCCGTAAAGGAGTGCCACATCTCCAACGGGGCGGTCCAAGCCTCTTTGTTTACCAAACTCTCCTATTTCATGGTGATTCAAACGTAAGTGTTGTTTTGAAGACGCTCATGCGCTAGGAATCAAACTGTCAGCTCACCAGCAAAGCCTGCCTTCGACGTCAGATTCTTCGTGTCGGCACTCGCAGGGAGTCTTGTGTCGCAGTTGTCTCTCCTGGCCGAACAGCCAACCCTCATTGTGGAAGTATTAGCAAACGAGCTCCCAACAAAATCTACGTTCTTCATCCAGCTTGTATTCATCAGCACGGTGCTTGGCCTGGGCATTGAACTGTTAAGGGTTGTCCCTGTCATTATGGCTTCCCTAAGAGGATGTTTGGGCCCCAACTTGACCGAAAAAGAGCGCAACCAACCATGGCTCTTCTTCAATCCCCTTGCGGTGCCACCAGTCTTCAACCATGCTTCAGTGCTGTCCAATGTGGTCTTGTTTTGCATGATCTTGTTTGTTTACGCAGTGATTGCACCGCTGACTGCTATCTTTATGGTGCTAAGTTTTCTGGTTCTCGCTGCCGGTTATCGTCACCAGTTGATTTACATTTACCCTGCTACTCAGGAGAGCGGCGGAAGACTTTGGATGAGTTTTGTGGGCATCATCCTGAATTGTATGCTCGTGGCTGAAATCGTTATTATTGGTCTCCTTGCATTGAAGCAGAGTGCAGTGGCAGCGATCCTTGTGGCCCCAGTCATTGCAGTTACAATGTTGTTCAAGTCCTATATCAACCAAAGACACTTTCAGTCGATGGAGTGCTTGCCATCACATGAATGCCACAGGAAGGATATTTCCAGTGACTTTTACATTACGGAGAGCTTTGAAGACTTGTACGTTCAACCAGAGTTGCTAGTCAAGGAAGCGTTTCCTGAGAATGCCTCTGGCAAACTCCGCAAGATGATCTCCCTGGTGGAAAGAAGGAAGCCAAGCAAGAAAAAGAAACGAAGGAAGAGAGGACTCCCCCAGGAAGTGAAAGGGGGAAGAGGAGGGGGGGGGACCCCGCCTGCTAGCATTTGATTTCATCGTTGCTTTAATACTAGTAGTTGTAGGTTACATTCTACATTGCACGTTCTGGCTACAACTGGTACCAGGTACCGGAGGTGCGAGGAGTCTTCAATGATTGGCTGTGGATGGGGCATGGGGTTAGTTCGCACTGAACCCCGTGCCCGGAACGAACCAGTTCCATCAGTGGCACTTGCTTTTACAAGTCAGCTGAAGCATGGCCAAGCAACCTAAATCAGAAGTCTCCAGCTCTACTTGCTACCGTACAGTAGCTAGTTTCTTGTTCTACTTGTTGGCCAGGGGTGGGAGACAAGGCACAGGAACAAAAGCAAACAGCGTGGGAGTGAAGTTTTTCATGGATCTTTTGCGCCCGGTTGAAGCTCCACGTGGAGAGCGCCACGCGGCATGATCCATCAAACACCCAACGACACCATTGACACCAACCAAAGCCGACAATAGCAATAGATATCGATTCGATTCAGAGGACAACAATGATGCTGAACAGAAAGACTCTTCTTGTGTGCATCTTACTGGCCGTGACTGCCACCTGCCGAGCACAATACGACGACTATCCTGATTATCAAGATTATGCGAATGAATACGAGGGCGAAGACAATCTTTATCAAGGTGGGTTTTTGATTGGATGGTGGGATTGTTGGTCTGCATAAATGGATTCTTTGGTTCTTTCCTTTGACGCTCATCGCATTTGATGTCTCATCCGCACTTGCCTCCACCGTATCCCCATAACTTTTCACAGGATATGCGGAAAGACAAGAGCAAAAAGCCGTCGGGTAAGATCCTGGTTTGGGGCTGAATCGCTGAATCAACCCCACCGCAAACCGGAGACTATCTGCATGAATCAGGACTTCACTCACAGCTGCCTTGTTTCCCTTATTCCCTTCGCTTCACGTTGATTGGTTGGCGTTTTCCAGTGGCGGCGGCGGAATGGGTATTGGCAAAGTTATAGTATGTTCGGCTTTTTCCTGGATTGCGGGTGCCAAGGTTCATTCGGACCGTGTCACCAAGAAGCTGAAGAATAAATTCCAAAAGGAACAAAAGCAACTCTACACACAATATTACAATGATGTATATAAGCTGACGGAAGCAAAACAGGATCTGGAAAAGTACATTGAACAACTCAGTGAGACCCTAAAGCAAACAGAAAAGAAGCACGAGCTGGAGGCAATGCAGAGGGATTATGAGGAATTCAAACAACCCGACATTGACGGCGATGAAAGGATCAGCCGAGCCGAGTTCAACATGTATGTCAAAAATTACCTCGCCAACTACCCGGGGCTGTCAGAAAAGGACTATCCAAAGTTCGAAGACTTTGATCACGATGGAGATGGATACGTTAGTTTCCAGGAATACTCGCAACAGATGGCATTACAAGCCCAGCAGGCCGAGCTAGAGCAGCTGTACGGACAGGGTAGTGGTGGATCAGAGAAAGCAGAGGCGCTCAAGGGATTATCAGGCAAGGCATATTGAAGAAAGAGGATCGTACCAAAATGTACTATACAAATATTCAGCTACTGGTTTATGTTCCAAAGCAATTCCTCTACCAGGATGGCTGCTTTAGTGCCTCTGCGATTGCGGCCTTGCCATTGGGTTGGTCTTGTTCCTTCTCCCTTTTCAAATTGCCGGAGTGTTTCGATGAAGTTTGAAGGCCAAATGAGCCTTGGTTGCTGGTATATTAGTTTTTAGAATGTATCTTGTTCGCGTGAGGACCAATACGAACAAAGGCATGCATTGGATACCTTCAAGTGCATGTCAGAGAGATTGTAATCACTAAGACTGAGGACTCGCTTACTTGAACCAATGAACAATTATTGCAGCAGGGAGTTTCAGATGCTATCGCGGCTGCTATTTCTCAGGCTAGCTACTACATACTCCCTAGCTAGCTAGAGTAGTGGTTACAAACTCGGGGATTCGTTCTACCATACAGAGTCAGTTCTCCGTGCAAAACCTAGCTAGCGCTAGCTAGCTCCCTCTTTGTGTCGGGATGTGAAACGAACACTTTTTCGTTTTGTGGTGGCCCAGCAAGCTGGGTTTGCTAGAATGCTCAGGTGAGATTCTTGAGCTCGAAGCCAGTTCACCCCGACCGACATGCAACTACAATGAGATAGAAGCGAGTATTCACCTATATTCTGTGCTTTCTTCAGCACTTCAATCAGAGGTTTCAGGATGAAAGCAAGATTTAGATAGGTTTAGACAACACCTTTGATCAACCCAAGAAAGTTGATAGGTGTGTGGGAGTTCGTTGAAGAGCTAACTTAAAAAAGTCGACCAGTCAATCGGGGCCAGTTTGTCGCAAAGAGTCCTCTCATCAAGTAAAAAGATGAACCTTTCCCAACGTGGCAGAACACGCCTAATAGTCACCGCCGTCGCCGCCGCCTCCGAACATGTCACCGCCACCGATATCGGCTTCTTCCTCTTCTTCTTCTTCAGGCTTTTCTTCTTCTGCGGCTGCACCACCACCGCCGCCTCCGCCGCCACCACCACCGCCGCCACCGCCGCCGGGTGTTGGTGTATATGTTTCTACCCCCTTCTCTGCACTGGTCAACACCTTGGCAAACAGCGCCGCCATTGGGGCGCTCACGCTGTTGCCGCTGGCAGTTGCTACCGCTTGCAGCTTTTCGGCATTGACTTCATCGGTACTTCCAACGATAAGACCGCACAGAGAAGCCACAAGGTCTTCTTTCTGCGAGTCTGATAGACCTTCTAAACTCGTTAACGCCATGGTGAGATGCAATTTGAACAGTTTGCTGGGATGCAGCCAAAGCAAAGCAAAGGTTGTTGCGTCCGCATTTCAGTAAGAGGTAACTTGACTCATGACTGAACCCCAAACAAACCATGATTCAATAGAGATGAAGTTAACGACTGTATAAGCCAGTTCAGCTATCAAAACTGTGATTGCAGACCAGCATCGCAAATGCTTCCGTACTCGTACGTGATCTTTGCTATTCAACCAACCGTTTCGGTTGCGCCACGTCAGGTCACTATCCGAACCTCTCTTGAACAGCCTGCTGGAAAGTTTCATTTTCGAAGAAAGCTCGCGGGTAAAGGCATTTAAAGACCAATTGAGCAAGTCAAAAGGGAGGGGTAGCATACATGTATTCACTGCAAACGCAAAAGAAACCATTATGCCTACGTGCCTACCACTGGCCACATGGCTTCCATTGAGCTACGTGTGCACCTACGTATTGAGCTCGTATTGTCACTTCTGGTGGTGGGTGGGAAAAGGGCCATGGTGCTGGAAGGGAATAGCTGGCAACATCAACATCACTGCTGGCTCTCAAGGCTGAGGGCAGACAGTCTGCCGACTGGTGGAGCTATTGGAAGGATATCGTACTTGTTCGTACCCATCCTTTGTTTTGCTTCTTGGGTCGTTGCCCCCCTCATTCCGAGTGTGTCGTGAAAAGAAGTCAGAGGAAAAGGCAAGTGGAGGGTCTGGACTTGAAAGTCATAGAAGCACAAGCCCAATTAGAACAATGAGTTACGGATTGCTAGCTGATGGGACTACCGTACTTTGGAAGTCCCTTCGTTACTGCTACTAGCCTGGTGCGTCAAGGGCAGCTTCTCCAGACCATTCTGCAGAGATCAAGAACTCACCAGCTCTTCTTATAGGAGCAATAGGTCGGAACAACCTGTAAGAAACTCCAGATGGCTGTGGTTTCAGTCCAAGGTCCAAGACAGCCAAACCGCGCTGCAGTACCGGTACCACCTGCACCTGCAGTGATACTTTACCTCTCGTGCCTCTTTTTCAACCAGCTTCGTCTTTGGTCTTGCTAGCCATTTAGCCAGGTACCGGTAGGAGGTAGTACGGTACTAGCTATTAGTAGTAGCTGTCTACTCCCTGTATTGTTCCGGAATGTACCACACTGGTGCTAGCTAGACTACGTGTCGGCACATACATGTAGATACTACAGGTCCGCATGCACAGTCCACAGAGCTGTAAAAGAGTGCTTGACCCGAGCGAAGAAGGGATTTTATCAAGACTTACTTATGTTTCTTCTCGTCCCCCAACCTTCTTTTACTGGACAATACAGCTTGAACCATGGGACCACCATTGCTCACAAAGGGTCAGGGTCTCTATCTCTTGTACTGAGGAGGGGCTATAAAGAATGACATTTCAATAATGCAAATATTCTGAAGTTCACCCGCTGAAGGAAGATGCCTTCGCTGGTCAGAAAAAGAGAACACCGAGGCACCACGTCAGCACCTAGCTAGATTGTCCAGGCCATTGAGATCGCCACTGCCTGGTAATAAACAGCCCAACAGCCAATCACGGCAGCTGCGAAGGAAGGATGCAATGTGGCGTTCTGCCTGATCATAGAGATCCAGGAATCATCCGGCTACTGACCATCCGCCTCTCGCCTCTCTGCTCTCTGCGATCCTCCCAAGCGTCCTTCTTCTTCACAGCCCATTAATCGTAGCAAAGCCAAGTTTATCATCAGCCCCAATTGCCTCCAACATCGTTCACAAGTTGAGCTTCCTCATATAATATTCAAAGAGAGACTGATCCCTGACACCCATTTCTTGTTGAGGAGACAAAAAGACACACAGTTGGTCATTTGCAACACCAGTGTTATCATTTTGTTTTCCTTCTTTGCAGTTTTCCTTCTTTGACATACCCATAATCTGGTCGAATCGAATCAAACAAACTCTGCTACCCTTGTTTTTATTTAGCAGACTTGACTTGAGCTGCCACCATGACGGCCACCATCGAACCCAATGCCCGTCCCACGGGATCTCGTATCCCCCTGGCCCTCCAAGCCGTGTTTCTGGCATCCAACAGAGGAAAAGATGTCAGCCGGCCACCACCCGACAAGCAAGCCACCAAGACGTACTTTCGAGGATGGATGTTCCAAGGATTACGAAAGAAGAAGAAGAAGGGAGGCAGTATTAGTAGTCGCCGCAGCAAAGGAACGCCACAGGAGGACAAGACGGTCAGTGTCACTACCAGGGACAGTACCAAGCCTCCCACGGTAGTCCAGTTTGGAAGTGATCCTTCCTTCACGGCAGACAGCAGTCGACGCGACAAACTTGGAAAGTCGAACAAGATGGGAAGCTCTTCGCAGCTCAGTGTGGGAGCTCCTCCTCCCAAGCCAAAGGTGAGATACCCCATAGCGACAGGCCAGACCAGCATGGCGGACATGACAATATAACAGAACCACTGACTGACACCATCTCTCTCAATCTCTCTCTATTTGAATTGCAGCCCGCCGGTCGTCCTCCCATGTCGCCGCAGGCCTATTTGGACGTTCTCATTCACTCTCGCGGATATTCCACCCGTCGTTATCGCACACTCCAAACGGGATATTACTCCAAACCCACGGCATTCCAACAAGCCAGTTACAATGTCTACCTGGTCAAGCTCGTACGAGCCAACGATATTGAAAATTTGCGTGCCGTGATTCAGGCCGGCATTTCTCCCAATCCGTGTAACGCCTACGGAGAATCCTTGGTACACATGGTGGCCCGTCGTGGTGATTTTGAGCTCTTGCGCATGCTCTTGGACGTGGGTACCAGTATTCAGGTTTCGGACGATTACGGTCGTACGCCCCTGCACGATGCCTGTTGGGCGGCCAAACCCTCCTTTGAAACGGTAGAACTCATTGCCGACAAGGATATTGCCCTCTTTCACATGACGGATAGTCGTGGTGCGGTCCCTCTCAGTTATGTCCGACGGGAACATTGGCCTCTTTGGATTGAATTTTTGGAATCCAAAAAGGACCTCTGGTGGCCTCCCAAGACGGAGGAAGACAAACCGGCACCCTTGATTGATGTAGCACCCAATGAATGCCCCATTCCGGAACCCGAAAATGCTTTGTCCATTGAATTGGCAGGAATGGTAGCTTCCGGTGTCATGACGGCTGCCGAAGCGGCATTGCTAACGGAGGATGATGACGATGATGAAGACGACTCGGATGAGGAAGATTCGGATGATGAGGACGAGGACGATGAAGACGATTCGGAAGCAGATTCCGATGATGACGATTCCGATGATGATGATGATGACGAAGAGAGCTCTTCGGACGACGACGACCTAGCTGGGTTCTCTGCGGACGATATGGCCAACATGCTATCGCGAGTCCAACAATCCAAGGCTCGTGTACAGTAAAATGCTTCCTTCCTTCCTTCCTTCCTTTTCTAGTGAGCAACACACGCAACCAGGAACCGTAGTGCATACTCGCGCAACGAGAACGGTCAGTCAGCAAAATGAAGACAACATATACAATGTTTGTTTTCGACGACTGCCCAGGGGTTCCCTCTACAAGCAAGCACTGTTCGGTGGCAACGCATTGGCCACAGCTCGAGAACGCCAGAGGATCCAACACGCTGCACTCATCCCTTCCATCTCTACACTTCAAAAGCAGCGTGCACCGTCACCTGAGGGAGCTCCCTCGGTTTCAACCCTGTACATCTTGAGACAAGTGTACATACTAGCCCGATATCCCCCACATGGTAGGATCGGCCAAAACCAACCAACAAAGGCTCAATCTCATGAGCCACCATGAATATGTGTACCTAGCGTAAAAAAAGAAACATACTGACTTTTACGTCCACTCATACGGTAGTCCTGTAGCTATTCTGTCCATCTCCACCCGCCCAACTAAACATTAATGTATCAAACTGGGGCTGACACCTGGTTTCTTCCAGCTATGTATACATGATGGTTACTACCGCGCTGGAGCAAGCAAAAGCCCTACTGGATAAGCTGGGTTCTTTTCAAGGGCCCTGGACTCAAGCTGTGAAAAATTGCATTGCATGAATGGCATTCGGCAAACCAAAGCCGGAACAGCAGATACGGTACTAGTAGGAGACATTGTATCTAACCAGCAGGGAGCAGGAGAAAGGACCCCGTGTCAGTAAGCACGCTGACAGCAAGCCAGGAATGGCTTGAACTTCAACGAAAGGTGTTCAGTCCATGGGCCCTCCGCCTTTTCATTCTTTCAGCCATCCCAGGCTGATTGCTTGGGGTAAAACAAGCAGCGTCCTTCAGCCGACGCGAGAGGACTTTCCGATCGCTCTGTCTTCTCTTCTTTTCTCCAGGCGCAACCACGGCAAGCTATTGCGCAGCCGGCCACAGTAAAGCTCTGAAGCCCCTTACCAGCTTACAGCAAGAATGCGCCAAATCGAAGGAGCAGAGCGAAACCACGAGCTAGCTATTAATAGCGTTCTCTCCTTGGCGAAGAACAGAGGTGCGAATATTCAATCTTCCGAGACCCAACGATGCCCAACCGGTGCATGGATACAGCTAGGGATACCGGTACTAGAATCTTGCAAGCTTGATTGTCCACATTTGGGATGGACAAGCAAAGGATCTCGACGGCAGCTGCTACCAGCGTCATAGAGTATGAGAGATGCTTTGCGCCAAACTTATTTTATTAAAACCATGTTACACTTTTCAACTATACCACAGCAACTCCATCCCACCACAGCACGGCCCGGATGAAACGAGCGGTCCTCCAGTGTCACCATCATTTTTGATATTTTAGTAATCTTTCACATGCAGTTCTCTTCACGTATTCGGGCACTTTTTCTTGTCAATGATCAATCAACATTTAAGATGATCTCCCCTTGGTACGCATTTGTCTTCAGGTCGTCGGAAAAGTTGGCAGCACAATGTCTAACCAGAGGGTTCTCCTGATTCATCCTGCTGCTTGGTAACGGTGGCAGCGTATTGATCGCTGACCTTACACTGGACACCGACAAAGTTGGTGACAGTACCAGAGGCATCACGCAAAGCGGCAATGAAGAACTGGTTCCAGAAGGTGGTGCCGTCGACACGGTAGTTGAGCAAGCAAACACTCATGTCGTTACCCTGTTCGATGGCCTTGCGGATGTGCTCCACAGCCTTGGGATCGGTCTCGGGTCCTTGCAAGAAACGGCAGTTACGTCCCAAGATTTGATCAAGGGAGTAACCGGTAAGGTTGAGGAATCCTTGAGAGGCGTAGACAATCGGGTTGTCGGGCAAGGAAGGATCGGTAACCACAAAGTTCTGCTGGGCAGTTTGCAGGGCCTTGATGAAAGAGAAATCAGGATCGTCCAAGACCTTGTTGGCGATACCCTGAGTGGAGGCAATCAATCCTTCGTCTCCACCGCCTCCCTTTTGACGGAAGAGCTTCTCTGCTTGGTCGGCACCCAAGTGAGTCTTAATGGCATTTCGAAGCTTCTCGTTCTCATCCTTCAACAAACCAACGGATTGTTGGAGAGATTCCAACAAAAACTTTTTGCGGACACGGCTCTTCTTGGCATCTTCCTTGGTCTTCCTGTTCGATAATTAAAATATAAATCAGAAAAATCATGGTGAGCAAGGAAACAGGGGTAGCAGCACTCTGACAACACAGGCCAACGGGGACTCCCTAGAACAACCCAACCCACAAGTGCTTAGCCCGCTTCAGGAGAGACCAATTACAAAGACTTACTTGTCACCTTTCTTCTTCTTCTTCTTGGCGGCATACTCCAGCTGGTTCTTCTTTTGGGGCTTCTCCTTGAAGGGAACAGCCTGAGCAGTGGGGACAGCCTTGACAGCAGCGTTTCCCATCACCAGAGCTTCCTTGGAGGGATCAGCAAGATTGGTGGTATCCAAACCACCTCCAGCAGGAGTCGGAATGAACCCACCATCGGTCTTTTTGGAGGCAACAATCTTAATGTTCTCTCCCTCACCAGAGTTCAACATATCGTCTTCCCTCTCCTCACTGAGGAAGATGGTGTCTCCCTCGGGAGTAAACATGACATCACTGAAGATGTCATCGAGATTCAAGGCAGCCATGGTCAAGGTCTTTCTTCAGATAAAAGGGAGCAATAGTAACCACAAGGAGATCAACGAGGGTTGGTCAGCAATCCAAATTGGATATTGTGTCTGCATGTGCGCTTGGACACCCCTTGACAACTCTGATTTGGACGCAAGGAATGACTGTTTTCTCAACTGAGAAATGACACTTCTATGCCAGAGACCCGGAGGTAGAAAGATACAACTCGAGATCATCTCGTCAATAGCCCCTTCCCCCCGTTCACCACAAAGTTGCCCTTTAAGGCAACCAAAGATCGCAGCGGGGAGTCTGAAGATTGAAGATAATGGTACTAATTCCAATTCAGCACTGACGTCAGTTTTATCCCCGGATTCGATTGAAATCATTCTCTGCATCTGGCGCAGCGGCATCGAGCTGTCCGGCGCGGGATGCGGAACCCAAAACACTTTTCCATCCCCGTAATGCGATTGACAAATGCGTCACCCTCCCAGCTGTTGGGGAGGAGGAAAGCAGCCTGTACACAGGTGGTTAAAGTAATACATTTAGTTAAAATATAGAAGCACAAGCTTGTTTTTACATCATCTACCTGAAGCCACAAGCTGCTTCAGTTGACGCACTATCACTTGGATCGATCTGATTGGCTCTATGTCGGCATTCCCTGAGAACAGACTGATATTTCTTCCAGTATCAAGAATGATGACCAGGAAAGCAGAACACACGAAGGAGTACGGTTTTGCTATACAAGGGAGCGGCGTCAGAGCTTTCGGTGACATGAACTGCCCCTCGAGTGACCTAGGAAAAAAGAACTTTTTTCACTGAGCACGGTTTATCACTGATCATCAAAACGCGTATGTAGTTCAAATTCTGCTCCACTCTTTGGAATCTATTGCAGGGATGGATGCACTCTCAATTCGAGACTACCGGTATCCCATCTTTGGCTTTGGCATTCCAGTCCTTTATTGGATCTTTGTTGGATTCGATTCCGCAATTTGGATCGAGCTTGGTGATGGCAAAAAAAAACTAAGAATGATCAGCTTCTGTCACTTTCAAGCTTTGCCATGTACACCAAATCTCCAAGCTAGATCGATGGATACCCTCCTCTCATTCCTACATCATCAGACGCTGGGGGTTGTTGTTTGGTCGGGGCCTACCACTTGGGTATGTCTTCGTTTGGATCTACCGCTACCGGCAGATGCCAGCTATGCATAGGTTCCGTAGCTACCGGTAGCTAGCAGAAACACAACCAACACCCAAGAGCTACCTAAGGGTCATCGGGTACATTACAGCGTGTGCTAAAAAAATGTCTCTATTGCTCTTTCCACGGTCACTGTAAAAGCTAAGGCTTCCTCGGCCAAAAATGGGAACACTTGGTGTCAACCAACGAACACCGGTCATCATAGTGGTCATTTGGATCTTTGTTGAGCTCGAAAGATTTTCGTTGGAGCATGGGTTTCAATCGATATTCTTTAGAATGCCATGGCAAGACAACCCATGTGATGAGCAGCAGAACTTGACAATGATATTCAAAGTCTGGCCCTTACTTTGCTCCACTAATAGGTTGAAACATCTCGTCTCTTGATAAAGCTGATGCTGTGTTGCTGCAATGGATCTGAAGATGCTTCAAGAAAGTTCGTCTTTGAGAGAGTGACAGTCATTGCATCCTGAGCGGTCACTGGGATCTGTGTGGTTTTTGCAAGCAGCTCCGGAACAACTTTTCCAAGATGACGCCATGTCCATGCCACCTCTTCCCCTTACTCGACTTGAATCAATCCAAACAAACAACGATCCTCGGTGGAACTCTCAGATGAAGAGAACGACGAAGCAAATTGCATGACTAGTTTGCTTCAAAACAAGACACTGTGCGGACTTTCGGCACCAACAACTTGCTTGGAGGCAAGGTGCGTCGATATCAAATACCCCAACGGTTTGATTCGATTCTGTTGTTGAGCCATGTGTCACAGTGTTTCATCATTGAGGGATCGTAGATTATAATGTTCTTTCCAAGAGGAACCAAAAGTGCTCTTTGGGAGAGTTTGAGTGTGATTTGTTACCATTTCTGCCCATCCCGACATTTCAACCTTTGCGTATTCAGTTTGCCTGTTTCCCCCTTTACCTGGGGAATACGAATATAAATTTTTTATGTGTTTTCTGTACCTGCCTCGGTGTTCTGGAAGCTTGCGGCCTATCAAACCAATTCTGCCACCCGGAAATATGCATACCGAAACTGGTATCCATAAAATCAACGAAATTAGCACCAAGTGACCCCCCCTCCCAAATTTGTCGCACCTCAAGTCGATAAACTCAAAATCCCGCGCTAGTGAGAAAAAATAATTTGGATGTTGAGATGGGTTTTGAATTTTTGCACTGGAAGCATTTGGATTCTTTTTCTGTTTGGTTTGCAGAGATGCCCATTTCAACACCAAAAAGGAGAGAACAGAAGCACTGGTATTCACATGCAAAACTCGCCTCGGGTTGCTTTCTCAAATCAGCAAATGATCTTCAACCAAACAAGAAGCCCTGCTTCTGTGGAATATTAAAATTCAAGCGAACCTATTCGTAGTGCAATTAACTAATAATCATCATGCCATCTTTGTTTCCTCAAACGAAGAAGGCTTTTGCAGTTTTTAGCACCTTTTGGCACCAAACAAGGACTCCAGCACTCCACTGTGTCATTCAGGAACATTTTGTTTTGCCAAATAACTAACTCTCAAGCAACCAATTGAATGATACCTATGAATCTTCTGTCTCTGTAGACAGTGTTCAGTATTTTAGCCTTTTCCATTTCAGTGCTCAGCTAGTCAGCACCAAAACAGGTTGGCTGTGCCCCGGGACCGACCATAGTCTCCTTGTTGATTGTCGAATTTGTGGGCCCAACAACGGTGAATGGTCGACGCGCTTGGTAACGTTCGAGAGTGATTTGAATAATGGCGTGAAGTTTCTCGCACCTTCTCACAACCGCTCAACCTTCTCCGTCTTCTATGTTGATAGGAAGTCTTCCTGTGTTTGATTGATTGTGTGTGCGAAGAAGAGTCAAAAAGACAAAGGAGAAGGAGAGATGAGTGCTCCTGGAAGACAGAAAAGTCCGGGCGGTGGAGGATTGATTCTCCCTGACGGTTGCAACAGCAGCGGCGGTTTGTCGCAAGAAGTCATGATGAAAATGATGGAAGCCCAAGTCATTCAAGGATACAGAGCACCCGGTCAGCAGTACCATGCTCCGCCTGTGGAATGGGTCAAAAATACACTGGATGGTTCCGTCTTGACGGACCACAAGGGCTATCCCATCAGTGTCAATCGACTGCTCGCCACCAGACCATTGCGTGCCGAACTTTCCAGCCGTCCAGGACCCGGTGGAAAGAAATTGACGTACATTAGTGGCGAAGGAGTCACTCGGGCGCTCAATGAAATCTTTGGTTTTGACGGATGGAACATGGAGATTGTCAAGACACAACGAGAAGTCTGTAACAAAGATGACAAGGGACGCTTCCATGTCGCTTACACGGCGCATGTTCGATTGACGCACAAAAAGAGTGGCACCTACAAGGAAGACGTGGGATCTTCCGACAGTGTCGATCGAACCATGGGAACTGCCGTCAGCCATGCGCTCAAGGGAAGCATCACGGATGCGCTCAAGCGCGCCGCGAGACATTTTGGAGAAAAACTCGGCAATACGCTTTACGTTGGAGATTTCACCATCAACAAGGCTCCACTCACACTGCGAGACGCTCTAGACTTTTACGACAATGAACGAGAAAACACCAAATTTGGACCATCTACCAAGCCTATCCATGTCAACAAGGAGACTCCTTCTCCACTAGTGGATCAAAAGAATGGCGCTGCTAGCGGAAATCGGAATGTGGCCACTGTCGGGTCAACCAAAACACATCAGCAGCAGCCAATGGCACAGCCCAACAACAACTACAACAAACCGAGTGCTGTAAGCAACCAAAATAAGAACAACAGTGGTTCGGCTGTCAACAACATGCAGTCCGTCTCTATTGCAGAGGCGCATCCACGAACCAACGGGCGATCGTCCTTGGATGGGCGGCCCATGGTGGCGATGGGAGCGATGGTTACCAAGACACCTTCCAACAATCCGCAACTCGCCGCCTCCAAACAGCAAAACCCTATTGTTTCGGCAACACCCAAGGTTCCAAACAATGCTCGTGAGAGCCAGGAATCGCTCAAAAGTCGTTTGGGACCAGCGCCCAACTTTCAGCTTCCTCCACCTTCTCGACAGAGTAGTTCGTACGCCCAGAACGCTTCGCTACGTCCTCCGCCTTCTGCGGCCGATCGACTCAGCTCTGGAAACATGTTTGCAGGTGGGCTCACTTTTGACCATGATACAGACCCACAGCGTGGCCATGGCAATCAACGTGTTGTTGCCCACGCCAACAAGGAAAACTCACAAGGTCGACCATCTCAGCAGCAGCATCAACAAGGACCGGGGCTTTTGAAACGTCATGCATCGGTACCGACCGACGTGGGCACGAACAAGAGAATGAATGCAAATCCGTACCAGCGCTAGTAGAATACACCACTGGATGAATGCGGTCTAAAAGGCCACCTCTGTTCAAATTATTGTAGGAGGTCTACGGTGGCTTCAGTCGACAACCAACCAAAAGAGGTTGCCAGAACCCATCACAACAGCATCATGCTGCAACTTGGATTGAATCATTCCTTTTTGGAGGCTGGCTCGTATTACAAAAACACGAAGGGTAACATAGGGATACTCTGTTGAAGTACTAATGTAGTTTCTGTGCCAACAAGAACCGTCAACAAAGCCCAAACCTAACAGCGTGCTAATAATGAGGCTAGCGATGATTTGTAGTAGGCAAGAACAAAAGGAAAGAATCATCAAAAGCGTTGTTATAAATTTGCTATTCTTCTATATGGTATCCTATCCGTAGCTCTTCTTTTGCTCTTCACTCATGCCAGCAAGCTGCTCGGGCGAAATGTTGCCAGACGAGATCATAGATGCCAGCCCTGCCGACACGGCATTCTTGGGATCTGGAAGCGTCCCATCTGGCCGATCGTCCTTCGGTCTCATCAAACGAGCCACGGGCCCTCCCTTGGGCCAGAACTTGTCTGCCATTTCTTCCAAAAACTCACTCCATTCCGACGTGATACTGGCTCGGACATACTCCATGGGCGTTTGTCCACGCTTGTCTTCAATGAACAGTTGCATGGGGTCGCGTTCCAGAATTGCTTCGGCAATTTCCCGAGAAAAATTGCTGGCCCAAGCACAATGATGCATGGGCGTTCGACCAAAGCCATCGACTACTCGAATGTCACTCCCGTTGTCCAATAGACACTTGAAGATGGCAACGTTGTTCCGCTTGCACACCAGATCCAGAATGGAATCTCGAAACTGATTGCAAGGATTGGGACTGAGACCGCACGACAACAGTCGGCCCAGCATTTCATCATCGCCAGTGTGTACGGCGTGCACCACTTGTGTCCCAAAGGAACTCAGCTGCAATGGCGATGGCATGGTGTCATATCCGGCGTCTTCGCTCTTGATTCGGTTTTGCAGTTCCGTGTGTCCTTGTTGCTCCACAACCTTCATCAAGACATCTTGAGGTGTACTCTCCACTTTCTTGCCCTTTTTGGCCTTTTTCTTGGCCGGGGTGCTCGATGGAGCGGAGCGCTTCTTCCGTTCACCAGTACAGACACTGGCGAGTACAGTGGGCGGAACCATGGTGGAAGGTAGCAAGAACGTCTGGTCACTCGGTTGTGTCATGGCTCCACCACCGTGAGATGCCACAGGCATGGGTCTTGGCATTTGCTGCTGGGATTGTACGGCCATGGGACGCTGCTGCTGTTGCTGTTGAAGTTGCTGCTGCTGTGCTTGCTGTTGGAGCTGCTGCTGCCGTTGCTGTTGGAGTTGCTGTGCTTGCTGCAGTTGCTGGGCTGCCTGTTGCGGTGTTAAACCAGCTGCCTGCAACTGTTGCAAGATGGTGGAGGACGGAACGGGTGCCGGTGCAGCGGCTTGATTAGTTCCTTGTTGCGAGGGCTGACTGTGGGATTGAACCACTGACGGGTTGACCTGCTGCTGCTGCTGTTGTTGTTGGTACATGGGAGTAGGCTCTAGCATGGGAAAGCTTTGGATTTGAGGAGCCATGGATGCCTGGAAGGTTTGAAAAAGAGATAGAAGAACGAGAAGCATCGTTAGTCTGTTGTGCCGGCATGATTCTTTCACGGCATCTCACTTCGGATACTACCTACCATTTCGTTTGCCTTTTGAGGCTGTGTGTCGGATGGTCCGCTGGCATTGCCTGCTTCGTCACCCAGCGTGTCCATGTCAAAGAACTTGAACAGGTCATCATCATTATAGACATCGCTCTGCCGTTGCACCGGTTGCACTTGTGTCTCCAAGAACAACCTTTGGTTGCTATTGGAAATGCTAGAGGAAGCATTCTGATTACTGTTCGCCGCTGCTGCTTTTGCGGCAGAGTTGCTGTTACCGTCTCCTCCCATGGAAGAGGCGGTGGCTTCATTGAACGAGTTGAGCAGCTCGGACAAGCTACTCTCATTTGCATTGCTACTACTACTGTTGTTGTTCCCCCCATTTACTTTTGCAATCAATTGCTGCATCATCTCTGGACTGAGATTGCCACTGTTCAGCAATTCTTGAATGCCAGCGACGTCAATGCCCCCTTGTTGTTGCTGGTGTCCTTGTCCCTGTTGTGATTGCTGTTGAAATGATTGCTGTTGTTGTTGCTGCTGCTGTTGCTGGTTTGCTTGAGCTTGTTGGTTCTGTTGCCCTTGTTGTTGATGCTGCTGTTGCATGAGCACTTGTTGTTGAACGTGGGGAGGCAACTGGTTAAAGGAGAGGATCTGCGGGGCTCCTCCTCCTCCGCTCTGGTTGCCTCCCTGTTGTTGTTGGAGCTGTTGCTGAAGCTGCTGCAATTGACTGGGATTGGCACTTAGTTGTCCCAGCATGTGAGCTGGAACGGCTACCTGGGTCAAGACCATGTACGGTGCTTGCTGCTGCTGTTGCTGTGGTGCACTAGTGGGAGTCCCCGGTGCGTTGCTATTGTTCCCCGCATTGGCTTGCTGCTGCGCCGCCTGAAGCTGCGCTGCATGTTGACGCTTCAAGGCTTCAAACTGTTCACGTGTGTAAACAGGAGCGCTTCCAGGAGCCGGGGAAGGAGCGGCCAAAGCGGTTCCTTGCGACGGGAAACTCATTTGCTGCGATTGCGGCTGTTGCTGGATTTGCTGGGATTGCTGCTGTTGGATCTTTTGGGATTGATTGGTGTTGCTGTTGGTGGTGGTGTTGTTGTTGTGGTTCATGACAAGCACTGATGCTAACTCAACCATATCAAGTATCTATTCGTTTTATGCTTCCAGCTGAATCCTATTGATGCTTGTTAGCAAACTAGCGACTGGTTACAAGATAGGGAGGGAAGCTCTGTTCTTCCTGCGCTTGCTACCGGTACTGTGGTTGCTCTGTGGTACAAGAACGTGGTCTTGATGGCTGTTTGTTGTTGTGTTGCGGCTTTTGCCTGGGCTGTGCGGCCGCCCAAGTCTTCCTCACAATCAGATTCTGATCTTGCTTTGGGCTTGGGAGACAGAGAACAGAACTGGAGTACCGTTTGTTCTCTGAGGAACAAATGTTCTTTATTTCGATCCCAAGCCGGTGGAGCTGCAATGAAGGCTTCTTGGGAGGTGCGCTTTTCAAGATTTCGGCACCTGTCGGTCGCAAGTTCAATTTTTCGTTGGGCAAGGATCGGCATGGCCTGCTATTTGAATCGAATCATCCACTTCTTCACCAACTATCATCGTGCCCGATGTTAGATAGTCTAGCAGAGATTGCAGATGTAATTTGTTTATTTTTAACGCTACGGTAGCTAGTCAGTCAAATGTAGCTGCAACTCTCAGAAAGAAACTTTTGGAAACCTCAACTCCACTATTGGCCAAGGCAGCAACTGTTTTTGGATACCCTGCCGTACGGTAACTTCGATTGCCCATTGTTTGGGTGCAATGCACATTAGCTAGTTGATGGAGTTTTGAACGGCCTGCTTCAAGGACTGAGACGGTTTCATTTCCTGCAGTGGCTATGAACCTATGATGAACACCACAACAAACTGTCCTTGTGAGGGTCTTTGGAGCTTGTGTGAGTTGCTATAGTTTTGTTTCGGAGTAATGCGACGCATTCCCCAGAATCCATCTGGTCCTGGGGAACGCAAGGAACAAGGCTGGGACATGGAAGAATCCAGTCGAAGCTCAAGGCATCGAGGAGAATGCTGGAGTTCGTCCGTACTTACGAGATATTAACCAGCAGAGCGGCTATTTCACTCTGGAGGCGTCTGGCCGCTCCTTCTTCTTGCTTCAAACGTCGAACGCAGACCACACGCCCACAGCAACACTCACTTCCAATCGCTGCCCAACACAACGCAGTAAAAGATGACCATGGAATGTTATGATAATGCAAGTGACAATGTCCAACTTCTGGTGGAGACACCACGAGGACGAACAGCCGTTGTCTCATTACCAAAGACTGAGCTACTAGTAGAAGATGAAATTGGCTACAATGAGTTGCTGTTCCATCTGCTACAGGCGGCCAAGCGACGGGATTTGGATCATGATCTCGTTGTCGATCCTGACGCTGAATGGACAGAGGATTCAACAAGACATCTGATGCTGATTCACAATGGACGAATTGTAGACCCCAATCTATTTCCCTCTTCTGCATTATTTCTGGATAGTGACTCCCTCGTTTCCTTGCAATTGAAATGTCGTGGCCGAGGAGGCATGGATCGTCAGAACCGAGTCGGTTCCAAATTTGGAGGCGGCGGTGTGAGTTCTAGCCAAAATGCGGAACGAGAGCGCAAGGAGCGACTCAAACGATTGGCTTTGGAATCGATTGATTTGGCCAAGGACCCGTACTTGATGCGCAATCACTTGGGGACTTACGAATGCAAACTCTGTTTGACGTTGCATACCAATGAAGCCAACTATTTGGCCCATACGCAGGGCAAGAAGCATCAACAAGGTCTGGCCAAACGAGCGTACATGGAAAAACTAAAACAAGAAAAAGAACAGGCACAACAGGGAGGCATGCTGTCGTCTTCGGCGGCGGTTATCCAGCAACCCAAACCCAAGAAAATTCGAATTGGACGACCCGCCTATCAAGTCTTTAAAAGTCGAGATCCAACTACCAATCAACGATGCCTGAGTTTCGAATTGCAATATCCAGAAATTGAACAGGATTTGCAACCACGTCATCGATTCATGAGTGCCTTTGAACAACGGGTCGAAAGTCCACCCGATCGTCGATTCCAGTACCTCCTCTTTGCGGCCGAGCCCTATGAAACCGTTGCCTTTAAGATCCCCAACGAGTCCATTGATAAAGGGCAAGATCGATTCGTCACGCATTGGGATGATGACGATAAAAAGTTCACTCTGTCTCTGTATTTTGTGGAACAACAAGCAACAACAAACGAAGAAGGACAACAACAGCAAGAGCAACAACAAGCTGGGCAGCAGTAAACGAACTCTTTCAAACAAACAGCAAAAGGGAGGGTGCAGCATATATAGCTAAAACTTGGAGAAGCGAGTGGCTACACGCACTGAATGTTTTCCCAGGAATCTGTAGTTGGCGACGACCGTATCGTATGATGTAACTTCTACCAATTTATATAGCTATGTCTTTCTTAACAGTACTAGCAACGCATGTATTGTCTTGGATTCATTCAACTCTCTTGTTCCTCTACTCTTCTTCATTTTCCTGTTCCTCTTCTTTGGGTGTTGGAAACTTGTCCCATCCAATGAACAAATCAGCATTCAAATCTTGCCAGCACTGTTCATAGTCCACATCTAGATACGAGGCTTTCAAGGCGACTGGACTGAGCGTCATGATCAAACTCGTTTCAAACATGAATGCCAATCCTTCTTCAAATTTGACAGGCATTGCACAGTGATCCAGGACGGCTTTGTCGTACGACATGGTATCGGGTCCGTGCGGTGTCATGCACGAATGCAACGAAGCACCACCGGCTTGGAATCCTTCCTTGGCATCGTACTGTCCCGCAATGAGTCCCATGAATTCCGTCATGGTATTGCGATGAAACCACGGAGGTCGTAACGTATTGGAATCGGTGGCCATGACCCGCGGTGGGAAAATGACAAAATCCGCCAACGCCGTGCCCGGTTCACTGCCCACACAAGTGAGTACCGTGTAAATGCTGGGATCCAAATGATCGTACGTGACGGAATTGACGGCACAGAATCGATCGAGATTGTACATGAAGGGCAAGTAGTTGCCGTGAAATGCCACTACATTGTAGGGAGAATGACGCAGTTGTTTGGGAAAGAGTTGCGATCCAAACTTGCGCATCAATGTATGTTTGCTGTCAGCGTTGTACGTGTAATCCGCCGGTGTGGTTGCACTGCACCATGCAGTGGGATACCAAAAGTCCCTGGCATTGGCCAATCCATTGGATCCAATGGGTCCCAGTTCAGGAAGTGTAAAGTGTCCTTTGCATACTTCCAGGACGTAGCCTCTGGCAAACGATTCAAGCGAAGTGTCGTTGTTGTGCCGATGAATGGAAAAGACAAATCCCCGAGGAATGACACAAATATCCTTGGGATGGACAATCATACGTCCCACTTCGGTATGAATGAGGAGTGCTTCTTGTTGCGGAATGATCAAAAAGTCTCCATCGGCATTGTAAAAGTGTCGTTTGGTTTCCGACATGGATGTTTGGAAGCAGTACATGTAAATGGACAATCCATTCTTGTTCAAGGGCGATCCTCCTCCCGTGGCCATTAAGGACATGCCGTCGATAAAGTCGCACTCTTCATTGGCAGGATGCGGTGGTTTGGGTTTCCATCGCAATGGACGAGGTGTCACGACGGTTTGTTCCGGATCGACGCCTCCAAAGAATACCGCCGGCGTTGTTGTTGTTACTTTGTGATGATGATGTCGCGGAATGTGTTCGGTGCCATTGGCGACACTGGGTTGAATGCGATAGAGCCATGTGCGTCTATTTTCGGCGCGGGGAGCGGTAAAGGCCGTGCCGGACAATTGTTCCGCGTAGAGATTGTACGGAACCTTGCGAGGATTGTTGCGACCCTTGGGCAGTGCGTGTGGGATGCATTCACTTTCAAATGTATTGCCAAAACCCGTCTGATAGACCAAGCCATCTCGTGTTTCCAACATGCCGTTTGTAGCGCAAGTTGTCATGGTGGTGTTATTATTTGTTTGTTTTTATTTTTTAGAGCAGAATGATTTGATTTTATAGAACCCCAAAACAATGAAACAAGAGAGAACGGAGCAAGATACGATTGAATTCGCAGTGATCACTCCTAAGAACTGAATGATGAATGATTCAATCTGTGAGAACCCTATAGTCAATCAATAGACGAGAGTGCTTCTTGGTTCCTTGGTTCTTCTACTTGAATATCTAAGGCGTCAAGGATGTTGATTGATGGGATCGAATGAATAGAATCAATCCTTTTCAGGAGTGCCCGGCATGAGAACGGGGTTCCCGTTGAACCAGAACAACAAAAATGAGAAATGAAAAAATGACAGGGCGACATCACTTCAGTCACAAGTGATGTCAGCTAGGGATTGAACGAAGAGAAAACAACAGTCAGATCTTTTTTCTGGTTGGACATCGGGAGTGTCATGGAGAGTGAAGGGCTGAGTCAATGACATGGCCACCGACAACAACAGACAATTACCGTGTGAGCCAACATCTTGTGTAAGAGATAACTGTCCGAAGACGAGACAAAGACAACAGAGTTTGCAGCGTGCAATACTATGAGAGTGAGCATATCAGGACTAGCATTGGCTTTTCTCTTGGAGGCGACCAGGGACCATGGAGTTGTTTCTGGTTTCATCGTGGGAAATCAGCAGCCTCTGCCAAGTCAAATACTACCCACTGTATCCAAGCCCAGGCATCCACCTGCTTCAGATGAAAATGGGTGGAGAGTCCGAACCACACCAATCTTGGCTAGTTCCACCCGTGACGACAATCACGATGTTTCATCATACTCATTATTAGTAGAGGCAAAAGATCTGAAACTTGTGACATCCATGTCCGGCAAACAACGGCAAACAGAAAACCAAAAGTTGACCCAAAAGGCAGCCGCCATCCAGAAACAACTGTTGCTGGAACAAGGGTCCAACTTGAAGACTTGGGACTCGTTGGTTCCACTCATGATCCAATGGGCCAAGTTGGGACAAGCCGAACCGATGGAAGCCTTTTTCCAGCAAATAATAAAAGATGACAACATTCCCCACAGCAACATTCAAACTGCATTGCAGCGATGTCGTCTCCACGCATGGTCCAATCGACTGCGTCTGGTGCCACCAAACTCGGACATGGCCAAAGAAGCCACCGAACAGGCAGCACAAGCATTACAGAACATGATGGATGATGACACGACAATAGTAGTAGATCTCTCATCGGACTTTGCCACGGTCGTGAAAAACTACCTCTCTTTGGAACCACTCGACTGGAATGTTATTTACAAGGTCTGGAAACAGTGGCAAGAACAAGTAGTGTCATCATCTGCTGCTGCTACCACGGCCATCAATGCGCTCTTGACGGCCAAAATCATTCGCACCCTGGCCAATCATCATCACTCGTCGTGGCAAACAGCCATTCAGTACGCACAACAAGCCATGGAAATTGGATCTTCTACCATTGCGCAACACACCAGAGTCAATGGCGACAGCAGCAGCACGGACGACGACAATCATCATCTTATCCGAGTCTACAATGCCATGTTGGAAGTATACAGCAAGATACTCCCACCACCCTCCAAACAACAACAAACCAACGACGACAGTTTGGAAGAACGCCAACAATTGGTGGGTGAAAAGACGAATGAAATATTACAACAACTAAAGGACAATCATAATGTTGTAGTACCCAACGATCAGACCTACGCCACGGCCATGTATGCGTACTGCAAATGTGCCTGGCTACCACAAGCCTGGGAAATTTGGGATGAATGGAACGATCAAATCAACAACAACAATCATCATCTGGAGTTGGATGCTCGCTGTCTGCAAATGTTGATTCAGTCGTCTGTGCGGCAGGCGGATACTAATCACGACGCCAATGATGAGGATCATAGTAGGCTCTACTACTACTATGCCAATCGAACGACCCAAGTCATTTACGACATGTGGGCATTGTACGATCGGGGGTATCCAGAATTTCAACCCGACCGGGATTTGTACACCAGTGTCCTTCGTTGTTGGGCCAATCCACGACTTTCCACTTCTTCTCTGCTGATGGATACTAATAATATGGAAACGATCAATGCACTGGTGGCCAACTTGAATGAACGAGCCATGACACTGTCGTCGCTGCAACCGGACATGGCCTTGTACAAGGAATGGATGGCGGTCGTACGAGGACAGTTTGGTGGTACCACCACCACATTAGCAGCAAAGGTGGCCGAACAAGCTGGCATGATTGTCAAGCAAATGGAAGTGGATCCGTTCGTTGTCCCCGACACGAGTGTCTACAATTTCCTCATGGATGCCTGCCTCAGTGATGGTTCCATGGTGGGTGTGACACGGGCGGAACAAACATTGACCAAAATGATGGAAAATTCCTCTTCCAATGACAATAATGGCCCAAATGGGAGATCCTTTGCCAACATTATCCGATCGTGGCTCGCGTTTGATACCGCCAAAGCAGAGCAATGGCTAGATCGAATGGAAGAACGGTTCATTCCTTCCAAAGGCCTCTTTCAAGACGTCATTTCACGTTGCTGTCAAGAGAGCTCTAATGCACACAACAACAAGAAAGGGGAAGACGCTCGACGACAAGCCGAGCGAGCGCATCGCTTGTTGAATCGAATGGAAGAGTTGAGCAAGGCAACTGACAACCCAAAGCTGAGACCTGACAAATCACTGTACGACCGTGTGGTGGAGGCATGGGAAGCCTTGGGCGCAGGCGACGAAATTGAGAAGCTGCGCATCAGCCAAAGTGAAATGTACGCCGAAGAAGCAGAGTCGACCAAGAAGACAACTTCGCAACAGCATGCGATCAAATCGGAAGACGACGTCCGGAAAGCCATGAAGCAATTGGGGGTTTCTCTTGACGGGAATGAGAAGTTTCAGGCAGACACGCTTACATTCAATCGAATTATACGCCAATTGGCCAGCGCGGAATTACCGCAGGGAGGGCAAATCGCTGAAGAGATATTTGTCTACATGTTGGACCAGTATCTGAACCATGCCAATGTCAAACTGAAACCAGACATTATCACGTTCAACACCGTGATCCTTGCACATTCCAAGAGTAAAAACCCAGAGCGTTGCAAACGGTTTTTGAAAAATCTCCAAGAGCTCCA